ACTGTTTAACAGTGGATAAAGAATTGGCTGGTGGATAAAGAACTGGCTGGATGGCTGCACACAAAGAGTTGTGGTCAATGGCTCAATGTCCAGCTGGAGATCTGTAACAAGTGGCGTCCCTCAAGGATCAGTGTTGGCACTGGCCTTGTTCAACATCTTCATCAGTGACATGGACAGTGGGATTGAGTGTGCCCTCAGCAAGTTTGCTGATGACACCAAGCTTTGTGGTTTGGTTGATAATGCTGGAGGGAAGGAATGCCATCCAGAGGGACCTTGACACGCTTGTGAGGTGGGCTGATGCCAACCCCATGAAGTTCAACCAAGCCGAGTGCAAGGTCCTACACATGGGTGGGAGGAATCCCAGGCACAGCTACAGGCTGGGCAGAGAAGAGATTCAGACCAGCCCTGTGGAGAAGAACTTGGGGGGGTTGCTCGATGAGAAAATGAACGTGAGCTGGCTTCAGTGTGCGCTCGCAGCCCAGAAAGCCAACCGTATCTTGGGCTGCACCAAAAGGAGCGTGACCAGCAGGTCGAAGGAGGTGATCCCGCCCCTCTACTCTGCTCTTGTGAGACCTCACCTGGAGTATTGTGTGCAGTTCTGGTGTCCTCAACATAAAAAGGACATGGAACTGTTGGAACAAGTCCAGAGGAGGGCCATGAGGATGATCAGGGGACTGGAGCACCTCCTGTATGAAGACAGGCTGAGGAAGTTGGGGCTGTTCAGCCTGGAGAAGAGAAGGATGCGTGGAGACCTCATAGCAGCCTTCCAGTATCTGAAGGGGGCCTATAGGGATGCTGGGGAGGGACTCTTCGTTAGGGACTGTAGTGACAGGACAAGGGGTAACGGGTTCAAACTTAAACAGGGGAAGTCTAGATTGGATATAAGGAGGAAATTCTTTCCTGTTAGGGTGGTGAGGCACTGGAATGGGCTGCCCAAGGAGGTTGTGAATGCTCCATCCCTGGCAGTGTTCAAGGCAAGGTTGGACGAAGCCTTGGGTGATATGATTTAGCATAGGGTGTCTCTGCCCATGGCAGGGGGCTTGGAACTAGATGATCTTAAGGTCCTTTCCAACCCTAACTATTCTATGATTGTATGATTCTAACTTCTATTTTGATGGCTTGGCTTCGCAAGATTTGGGAAGGGCTTTAACCACGCTTACTATAAGCACGATGACCAAGGGCAAGTGGGATATGCAAATCTGGTTGGAAAAAAGGGTGCTTAGGCAATCAGGAAGTGTCTGACCAGGACTGTCATCTCCTGAGCGATTTTGAGCTACCCATGTGCTGGTCCACCCGCATGCGAAGTTGGATCTGCAGCCACCCATGCACCTATTTTACTGTAAGACAAAAACACATGACCTGTTTTGACTAAGAATAGGGCAGATGGCAATGCTAATCCTTTCTTACCTACTTTGTACATTATTTAGGTGTTCAGAATGTATACAGTATGGAAAATAAAAACCAGTAAATTAATTAATTATGAATTTTAGATTCTAACCTACTCAGAGGGGAGCCTTCCTCTCTTCAACATGCTAAGCTTGATTAATACAAATTCTCTAATGGTAATCAGCTATACTGCTTTCTTTAAAGAACAGCCTTTAATTTAACCAGGCAATACACAGAAATGCCATTTCTTGACAAAATGACAAACAAGCTTTTGGTAATCAACAGTATCGTTTAGTGCAGCCAAATCTTAACAATCTTTACAACTTAAGCTGTCATAAAGTTAAAAACAAACCAACATACAAAAAAAAAGTCACAAACAAAACCAAAACCTAAACCTATTTTTCTATTTATAATGACTGTAATCTTTACTGTTCTATTTGAGAACCATGAAAATCACTTGGCCTTTCTCACACAAGTGAGGCCTTTTAACCCTTCTGTAAGTTACAATACTGCTTTATTTGCAGAAACAGCCAACTAGGAAACTGACTTGCTAAGTGTGTGCAATAGTATTAACAAAAGAAATTGTATAACTAACTGAAATTACTTTTCAGGGAAAATATGTGGGTATAAAAAGATAAAGAGGGACAGCAACATAAAGCAGCAATTGTGTAACACCCTCACTTGAAATCCACAAGAAGAACAGAGAGCCTGTTCAGGTAAAACATTCACTTCCAAAACAAACCTAGCAATCCCAATCTCCATCAGAATCTAATCTGGTTGCATCTGTTCAGCAAAGGACACTAGACTTTCTGAACACAGCACATGCAATAACGATTTAAGTGAAATAGCTAGTGAAAATAAACATGCCAAACTTTCCCATCAGAAAACATTTTTCTATGACTGTTATCAAAGCACCCGAATGAGAATTTTTCTTTTATGCTTTCGTAAATCAGTGGCAGCTTCACTAAACTCAGCAGAGTAAATAAAGCCAAAATTTAGGGTGTTGACTTCTAAAACATGTATCGAAGTCTATTTTGAGGCAGATCAGAAGCAAGTTACATGAGTCAACATACATTGCACCTGAAACGATAACAAGTGCAATGTCGGAATAACCATTCATGAACAATTTCAGTGACTTGCTCCTTAAAAATACAGTTTTCATTATAGATACTAACATACCTAAAAAGAAATAAATATACACATGGCGCCTGCCAATATAAAGAAGTATTTTTCTGGAATTAAAGACATGCTTGTATAAGGAGTAAAAATGATGTCTGTTAGAGACGACTGTCTCTAATTTGTGTAGAAGTTTCCCTTCAAAGACAGGGGAATCGCAGCGACTGATTTACCTCATCTAAGAAAAAACTGGTGTGAAAGAGTTGCCTAGTTCCAGCTGACCTTGAATGTAATTGGCTACCTTGGATGTCTCTATGGTACATGCCATTAAGAAGATAAAAATATACAGGATTAAAATCTGAACTGATAAAGCTAAGAAATTAAGTATTACTCCTTTAATAAGCCTACTTCATGAAAGTATATGAATACCAAAATACTTCCTTACTGTTGAAGTGTAAGTTTTAAAACAAGTGATAGAAAGTAGAAGTATCTAATATATTATTTATATGCAAGTTCATTCTAACTCTTGTAGTGAACAAAAAGAAGGAATTAAGAGACATCAACAAACCTTCTACTATTTTAAGAGAAGTTTAGGGACAGTACATGGCAATAAGTCTAGAACTTAAATTTGGTTCAAAACTCTTCCATGGAAACAACTGACAATTACAGTCATGCATTTAGAAAACCAAATCAGTAGAACTGTAAGCAATACATTTCAGCTCTAAAGCTTACTTTGTCAACCTTCTTAGTCTCCATCTTCTCACAACTACTATAGTATTACACCGTATTGTAACATTACAGATATCAGCTATAATCAAGCATTCTACACTAAATCCAGTTGTTCCAGTAGCAAAGAACTGCTAAGACTTTGTGGAATTAGGATGCATTTTAGGATCACTGTTGTCTCAAAAAAAAAAAATTGTCTTTAATTAACAAAAAAAACAGAAGCTGCGAAATGTAATTCCAATTATCCAAATCCAATAATCAATAAAATAGATTTGTTTAAAACTCCGTCCAATATTTTAAACACCTACAATTGACTTTTTGCTTCATTTCTGAAAAAATGTAAAAGCGTGTTTTACATATAAAGTAAAACATGTTGAAATACCACATGTTAAGGTATAAAGTGTAGCTCATAATGAAGACTTCAAATAACATCTGTATTCTATTCCTTCCTTCTTTTTTGGCTCCTAATAACCATTTAGAAATCTTGAATCAAGTATTTCCCAAAGAAATCAGACACAAGCCTAATGGCTTTTATATACTGCAGTTGTATCTAAAACAAAAAAGCAACATATTAACAAGCAACCTAACTTAAACACTAGACAAGTTTATTCTTATATTGAAATGAAACACCCAAAGTCAGGGGCCCAGAAGGGAGAAAAAAAATACCAAAACCCAAGAGGTATACTGGAAATGTCATTGTCTTTCACCCTTACTGAGGCAAAGCAGTTTTAGTAAGTAATACTGCTAAAGAAAATCATCCTTAATAAATACAACAACATCCTTTAGCCTCCTCCACTGTACATCACTTCAAACGTTACGTGGCAAGTGATACTCCCTGTCATCCATTTTCAGAGTTACATTTTCAACAATGGTTTCTGATATTTCTACTAGTTTTGTATCTTGCATCTTTTTGGTTCTCTTCCCACTTCTTGACATTTCTTTCCACTTCCTCCTTTCATCTTCCTCACATTCGCAAATCATCCTGTTTCTCAAAATACCAGCGAAGCAGTCTCTTTTGCTCAACTAACAATTCACAGAATACTGGGAAAGACAGTAGTGGATCTGAAGAGCAGATAGTAGCAGCAAGGCTTGCTCTAAATACAAAATAAATAAAAGCTGCAAACCTCAGGTCACTACACATTACTGGCCTGCCATCATGAGGTTTCTTCTCTTCCCATATTAGATATACACCTGGTTTCAAACCCCTTATTCTCTCTTTGCTCCCTGATTTGCTATCACAGATTCTGATAACAGTATCTTTTCCCTCATTACTTGTTACATCTGGAGAAAATTCTAGATCCTGATGAAAAAGGATCTTTCCTTACTCTCAACTAGCATCTTCTGAACTGACAAGTGCATTTTGTATCCTAAGTTGATATTCAGGAAACAGCTAATCCGGTTTTAAAACATCCTTACGACCACTAATAAAAATAAAACTGTTCCTGTATTTCTTCCTTCATTTTTCCTATAATCTAGAAACACCTCATGATAGCTAGAACTGCTGTCTCTTATGTAACATGAGATGGCATGTAAAACACAGACACTCCACAGATTACAGATATTGGTGTACGTCACCCAGTCCCAAAAGCAGAAAAGATAAATTATACCTTGAAGTTTCATTTTGAAAGTGGTTTTGGAGGACCCCAGAATTCTAATGGACTGAGTAGCAGGTGTGTGATTACTCCTATCATTTAATTTGCACAAGAACTGCAAGTTCGGCTTATTCACCAAAACGTACATTTCTGGTGCCTATCTCAGAAGGATTATCTTACCTTTACAGTTTCACTTAAGACTTGGTTTTTGTCTGCTTCTTCACTGGAGTGCAATTCTAGTTTATTATTTAACTCCTGTAGCTGTTGCGCCTGTTCGTTCAAAAGCACTTGTGCCTGATGCTCCCGATGTAATGCATTATTTAATTCTTCACATGCACTTTCAAACCTCTCATGGGTGATCAACTTCTGATAAGGCAAATAAATTGTGTTTTATTGTGTAATTGTATTCACTTGTTTACATGCTTGACTTCAGAGTTTCATTTGAAAACATATCAAATTCTAAACCAAAACAGTGCTAAAGATGAATAGTTTTTTTTAACGTATAGATCACTGAATAATAAAACAGCAGACAACTTTATTGACTGTATTCTTTCAAACAAAGCATTCAGAGTACTGTAAACAGTACATTTTCATTATTCTATTCAAATTAGCACCCCAGCTTGTAAAGAATCAGTATTTAGAAGGAAATATGTAGATCAATGCCCCACATTGTTTTTTGCAAACAAAATATCTTCCTGGGCTCTTCCTCCCCTCCCCAAAGCGTTCCAGAAAGAAGGAATAATTTTAAAATCATCTACATTTCAACAACAATCTAAAATATGACAACCTCATCTAACTGTCCCAGAACTGTAAGGGAATAAAAACCATTATGAACAAAACTGAGGAGATTAGATCTAACCTTGTCCATCTGAGTAAAAAAAAAAAAAAAAAAAAAAAAAATTGTATTGGCTAGGAAGCAGAATGTATGTGAAATCACCCAAAAAATATTCCCTGCTTAGAAATGTTTTGACTGGGACACACTGACAGGTCTACCAACAAGGCCTCAGGATCAACATTGGGCAAAACTACAGAAAAGGCTGCTCATTCTGGGACACAACTGTTTCAGTTATACTGTGCATCTGTAAAGCATGTGTAAGAATCCTTACCCATTCACTTTCTCAGCTAGCTCAAATGTAAACTCAATTGTCAGTGTAACCTACGGAAAACACACATAGGAGGAAAGGTGCCCAATGAACATCCAGCATGCTAAAACAAGACAAGTTTCTTCTCCTCCAGTAAGGGCTGAAGGCACAGTTTTATGAGTATGACAGGGAACAAACTGATAACCCACAAAACGGTATGAATCCTTTAAATACTGTGTCCATTACTTGCAACACTGTGGCTTCCAGTAGTTAGGGAACCTTTTTGTTGTCTCATTCCTTCCAGGCAGTGCTATTTATGGGTTAGTAAACCCATAGCGCTGTAAGTAAATCAGCGACAGCAAAGGGTGTGTACGTGCTACTCAGAATGCAGTAGAGGTCTTCCTTTTCTTTGCCATAAACTTACTCCTTCAGGGAAACAACCATACTAAGATTTGTACACTAACACTAGCTCAGGATACAACCCACACTCAAAGATACAGTACAATGTCTATCATAATATTCAGCAATATCCATGTAGAGTTTAAAATATGTTTGTGCTTTATTAACTTCCCATGAACACACTTACTGGATACCCTCATATCAGCTGGGTATGTGAAATATATATATGTTATGGTGTGTATATATATATATATATATATATATATATATATCACACCAAAACTTTCCACTTAACCTGGGTTACTGAACACCAAACATACAGTTTAGACAGAATAGCTCTTTTTATGAATCAAAGAGAAACTCCTGTGGAAAGGAGATTTTTCTAAATAGATCTGATTTACAGTTTAGTAACATTTACAAAGCAAGTTTTGTGGAAAATTCTGTTAATAGAAGATTGATTTTATACTTGTTTTTCAAAAGAACACAAATCAAAAAAATGTGTAAAAAAGGAGGATCTCGTTAAATCATCTAAATTAAATATACTTACAGATTGCTTAAACATATTTAATTGCTTTTGGAGGCTCTGGGCTTTTTCAGCTTCTTTTTTCATCTCACTGAAACTCCATTTAAATTCAGCAAGTTTTAGGCGCAGTGACCGGCGTTCCACCTCTGCTGTATGAAGTCTTTGTGTAAATTCAAATATCAGCTTTTGCAAAGATGCTATACTTTTCTGTTAGTAAACAGAAACAAAATAATATGCTATAAAATGTGCTATTTTAGCAATAAAAACAATCACATTGAGCACTCAAGCAAATTAGATAAAGCTGTCATTTTGCTGTCCATCTCTAAAAGACACGTCAGTGCAAGAATGTGAATGTGTTTTGTGTACTGTTGAGGGTTACCGAAAATTCCATTTTCAAGGAAGTACCTGTTTTCATGTAAAGCCCACAGTAAAAGATTACGTAAGAAAGACTTTATTGTTTCACTTCGGCTAAAGCGAAGAAGGCTATCAAACTTTACAAGTTTGTTCTTATAAAGCAAATACAATTTTGACAGAACATTAAAAAAATCTTTTTCTTGGATATATCAAATCTCTTCTTAAATTCTTTGACGACAAAAGATCTATTAACACCCTACTGCTTTTGGGTGTTGCAAATCTATTTCTGATTCTCTATGGAGCTGACTTCAGTGTAACGGACTCATAAAGAATCTGAAACAAAATTAATGGTACTATCAAGACAGCTTCACCATAACACTTATGCTGAACCTACGCTGTGAAAGTACTGTTACATGAAATAGCACTATAAATAAGCATACCATAACAGGTAGTCTGTCACATAATCCAGCTTCCAGGGCCTGGGTATTTATTTTATGAAGTCCATGAGCCAATCTCTGTACCAAGGAGTTTTTCTCCAGGTAAGTAATGCTCCTTCTGCTGTCTAATGGAACAGTCTCCATTATTACATTCAGCTTGTCCATAAGTTTTGAAAAGGAATTCCTGGCTGCATTTACAAGTACATGTTCAGAAAGCCAGGGCTTTGGATCTTTAAGAAACAACAACAACAAAGAAACATCACAGTTTATTAGTTTTGGGGCTTTCTTCAGTGGTAAAAAGCAACAACAATAAACAGCATCTTTAAAATATTCAGTAAGAAATTTCCATTAAGAAGTAGAAGACTGAGCTCACAGGAAATAATCTCAGAAAGGCTTTCAGACAAATTTGGTATTTAGCAATGAATACTCTACTATCAATCTTTGGATAGAAGAGTAGGATAAGATTCTTAGAATAGGATTTGTCTGTCAAAGAATAATTTTCTAGCTGTTTTTATATTCTCCTCCAATGCTATGCTTTCTCAAGTCTTTCTTTGATGTCCTAATTTTGTAATTCATAAAACATGTAAGATGGATGCAAGTAAATGCAAGCCAGGTCAAGATGTTAGATGTGACAGCACATGGTAAATTACTTTATTGCAATATTTACAATGCAAATTTCTGAGGGTTTCCTGGCTCTTCTTCCCTCCCCTCTATAGATGTCTAAATCATTTGCTGTTCAAAATTAGTGAGGCTTGGTACCTTAATGCCATACTATTTATATTCTGAGACAAGAGAATATAATTTACCTTATTCCAAGGCAATTAAAATTTTACAGCTACAATTACTTATTTCCCCACAGGATTTTGGTAATCATCCTTCTCATATAATGGACTTAAGGCCCCAGCACACCCAACATGTCCTGCTTACTCCTAGATTCGTCAGGTCTGTAATTAATAATTGTGTTTAATGTTGATAAATAAAATTGTCAGTGCTCCTTCCACTAATTGGTATTCCAGATAACAGTTAATAGGTTTATTTATGCCTTAATAAAAGTCTTGTAATTTAGTTTTCCCTCTGCTAGGCAGGTCTTAATCTGTCATTACTTGTCTTATGATACTATCAGTGTAAGATGACAAGCATGGAAGAGCTTATTTACATTCAGTAGTGCAGCAGATCTCCTGTTGCTGCAGTGAATAAAAACATTTACTTAAAAGTACAAACAAAAAAAAAATACTGTAGCTTTTTTAAGTTACAGAATTTCTTTTTACACATTGTGAGGATAATACCACAGGTTCAAAGCAAATGAAACTTAATTACTGATATCTTTAGATTACGATTCTTATCATAAATAATCAATTACACATATATGTGATAAAATTTATTTGTAAGCAAGCAAATAAAAAGGCACAAGACAAACTCCGTCAGAGCCAGTCTTCTGCTTGGTTTCAAAATACCACTATGTCAGTGACTCCAGTGCTTGGCTGGAATACCATTTTTGAGTACATGCTCTCCACAGCCCCAGCTAGTAGTAAATCTAGCTTCATGTTTAATATAGCACTCTTTCAATTCATCTAAAAATCTTATCCAGCATTGTTATCTATCAAAACACTATTTGAAATAATAATTAAAAAAAAAATTCTTATTCAGAAGAAACTGCATTGCACCACTCTGTCTACTTTGGCTAAGGCTCCTATATTTTACTTGTGTTGATTCCCTATTAGTAATCACTTAAAAGATAATCTATCTTCAATATTTTAACAGATCATCCTCTCCTACCCATCTTTCAGTTTCAAAGACAATCTCTTTTCTCAAGTCAAGATGCATTCACTAGTTTTAATGTTTAGTTAAGAAGAACAAAATTAAACCAAAAATTAAAACCAGAACATCTGCACTGCTTTCACAAAACCATCTAAAAAACCCTCTCCATTATCACGGTTTTTGGTAAATACCAAAACAAGAATACTGTCAATGACCTACTGTTCTCTCATTTTTCCTAGTATTTCCAGCTGGTATCTCATTTTACACAAGATTGTTTGCCTGCCAGAAAAGGCAGTATTTCTCCATACGTGCAGTACCTAGGATGGCAGCCTCTTTCCCTATGTCTAGAACCTTTAGTGCAACTGTAGTAAAAATAAATAACAAATAATTGTTCAGGCAATTGTTTTGTACTATTTTAAATGATTGTTCCAGTTCATAACCAAATTATTCTTAGCATCTACAACTTAAGGTATTTTATTGGGCTGGGGAATAACAAGGCAAATCATCACCTCTGGGTTTTGGGGGTTTTGGTTTTTTTTTTTTTTGGCGGGGGGGTTATGGAGAGCATTTTTGGATTAAATACACATTAATATGTTGAGCAAGGCACTGACTGCTTTGAAAAATGAAGTGAGAATATAATGCAATTCCACAAAAAACTGTATCTATAATTACTGGGAAGTGAATATATGGTTTAAGTGTGCACATTTTAAGTACCTGCCCACAAAGGATCAAGAAATTACAGTAAAAGTATTAGGTACCTTGTAATGTGTATAAGAAATTATTAACACAATTACACAAAGAGTGGTTAATTCTTACAATTAAAGAAATGGCGAAAAAAAGACAATGAAAAGTGAAAATCTTCACCAACAGATGAAGAAAATTCTTGCTTACACTGTTTTAGAGAAACGGAACAATCAGCAGGATGAATGTACTAGTAGTACTACACAAGACTAAAATTTTCATTATAAGCTTCAAATGCTTTGTGCATGTAACAGTTGATGATGTTTGTATTCAAAATGCTTGACCTTTACTTTCTCTGGTTTATTGCAGTACAGATTCTGTTCAAATAAACCTACAAAACTAACATTAAAAAAAACCAAAACAAACAAAAAACAAAATACCCTGACAATTCAGTGAACTTGTATTCAAACTGAATCTAAGAGATTATCCCAAGACATGCTGGAATGAGAACCAAACTAATGAACAGTGTGAAATGATTGTAAATGTCAAACCAAACCCTATTTATTAAAACCTAAAAGCTCCAGAAAGGTGTCTTAAATCACCAGAGCACGTAAGTCCAAAAGTTTCAGAGATACCTGAGCAATCTTGATTTGGTTTCTTTCAACTGCCTCACATGGTTCCTCAGAACCTAGCCATCTTTAACAGTAATTTTAATTTAAGACACCAAACCATGCCATATTGTACATCCAGACAGCACCTCCTGTGATATCCAATCTGGACCTGCCATTATTTCAAGATCTGAAGAGAGCAGATGCCCCTCAGATTTCCTATTTATATCTAAAATAAATTCCCAAATCATTAAAGTCATTTTGAAGGTTCGAATCCTACTTGAAATATGACTTAGAGAACATAAAATAATTTCCTAAGTATGCAAGCTTTCTTTCAAATATGTTCCTTCAGAGCCTTAACACTTCAACACTTCTGGAATTTCACGTCAAACTTTAAATTATTTATTACTACTTTTTTTGAACCACAGATTCTTGGGAGACTTTTGATCTCAAGAGCAACAGAATTCCAAGTAATACATGAAAAGTCAGACCTTGAGGTTCTGTGAAAATTATTTAAAATAGAGATAAGCTATGAAAAATCACCAAAGTGTGGTCATAATATTCTCAGCATGGCACTTCCTAATTCTCAAAATGAAAACTGTGTTGAGTGTAGAGATATCAAGAGAAGTCCACCAGAACTCTCATATACTTGAATACCAGCAATATATCATGAGGTCTAGGGTATTCTAATTAGTCACTTCAGCACATCGATGCTGCTGTAAAGTTTATCCTTTTCAATTTGCTGTTCTTTCTCAACATTACATACAGAGGAACACTTGCAGCAAAACCCTGCAAATATTATGAAACATAATTCAAACTTTGTTTTTTAAGGGTGTAAATTGAAGTTACTGAAAACAGGAAAGAGCACCTGAAACTGAATCAAAACACTTTTGATTCAATGGCTGATTTCAGGTACCAGTTTACTGAAAACAGTATCCATCAAATTCAATTGTTTTCCAGATCTGGAAAATCTAGATTAATATCATATAAAATACAAAAGATAATTATTTCTTTTCAGTCAGCAGCAGCAATATCCCAGGTTAAATATGTGTGGGGTTTAGGGCCTACATGTAAGAAAACCACAGATGAAATAGGCACAAATTACATGTATTTTCTCTATGGAAAAAAAAATAGTTTGAGCTTCAGTAAAATACTTTTTGAATATTAGAACAGTGGAACAAAATAACTTCGAAGCTTGTAAATATTATTTCCTTGGAAGCTTTTGAAAACAAGTTTTCCAAATATCCACTGGCATGGTGTAGATGGTTCTTTTTCGGTCTCACAGCAATGGAGGAAAAGATGTTTATACACTTTTTAGAAGCACTTTACAGCCTACCATTTCTGTGACTCTATACAGTGAAATTACAAAGTATCCTATCACTAATTAAAGAAAATTAATCTGTTCCAATACAGCTCTCCAGAGATTTGATCCAGAATAGTTTAGATAAAATCCCAAAAACTGAAATCATGTAAACACCCTGATTATTTTTATCTTATACAACAAGAATATACTTTTAAATTTACCTGTTGTGTTAACAACATCCTGTAATTCAGTGACAGAACTTATAATTGCAGCAAGGAGGTTAGAACTAGTAAACCAGCTGAATGCTTCAACACAGTGAATTTGCTCCTCTTCATGACCTGTGAAACAGAATTGTAGCTAGCAATAAAACTAGATCACTAAGACAATACTATCTCCTGCTCTTTCAGAAATTAACCAAAACTAGGTGTACAAGCTCCAAACTAGCTCTTCTTTCAGGACGATTTAAATGTATTAAATATGCTTCCAAAGCTACTAAAAGGAGTAGAAAAGTAGACAGATCTCCTAGATTGGGAAACATTTTTGATACCATTTATCCTTGCAGCAGGAAGCATGAGCTGATCCAGTAACAGGAAGGGCCAGGAAGATTACATAATCTCTAAAGAAAATTTAGAAATCCTTTATTAATATTTTACTTGAATCAGAAAGCCACTTTTTGCATTTTTAGTAGGAAATAAATATGAGAAGTTAGTAATAGAAGAGGAAGCACCTTTTCAAAAATGTACATTACAATGTATTTACCATAGAGAATGTGGCAGCAACTAGTTCTGAAATCTGCAATGCAAATGTCAAGAATATCAAACAGTATGAGTTCACATGAGTAGCTGTAACTTTTCTTTCAATGCTTAACAAACTGTTTCCTTTTCAGAGAAAATTAAATTTGTCAAGAAATCCAGAAATCACAAATACAGAAACTACATTTATAAAAAGGTCATTAAATTTGTCTTTACACTCAATTAATAACATTCCTGTTTGTTATTTACTAACCACGTAATTTGACATAACACTTATCAAAGCAGAAAACCATTTGCTTACTTGACACATTATGTTTGCCTTTGGATTCTCCTATACAAACTAGAATTCCAATGCCTTCTTTGAAGCCATCTACCCAGGAGAAGAGGGAACTAGAAGACTGGGCTAAAACTTTAAATCTGTTAGCTGCCAAAACTGCAATCACACCTCTTCGAAAAACATGAATCAAGCCTTTGAGTTTTCTTTTCTTTCGTTTTGCATCATCTTGACTGTCTTCCTCTACATCAGAGAGTGCATGAACTAGGGTCCTAATCTCCTGGTTCACTAATTCATAAATGTTGACCTGATCCTGGAGAAGGTCCCTCTGGGAAGACATAGCACATGATCGGCCATAGAGAGGATACAGGGCACCTGCCAACAGAGCACAGGCTACCAGGAGAGATGAATGCTCCTTCTGAACCTGTGTCAACATGTTTTTCACAGAAACATTTTCAAGGGCTAATTTATCCCGTCTTCTTTCAAGGACATAAATTTTTTCCTTGTTTTTTTCTGCTGTTTTTTGGTATTCCTGGGATAAGGGGAAAAAAGAAAATCAGAAAAAAAATTACTCAGAGGATATTTTTTAAAAATAAAAAAATCATTTTTAGCTACACAATTTTTTTTTATTTCGGGTTCAAATAACCCATTAAAGGAACAAAAAAATATTACTAATGACTGTTAAAGGATCTCACCTAACAAGCAGTTAGAGAATCAGATGTATGAAAAGAATTCAATAGCACAAGGAAAATCTGCACAATCTTCAGTTAGAAATATGATAATCCACTAGTACTGCAATTGCCCACAGGAGGTCTGACAGTACCCGATCGTCCACAACACAGTTTTATGAGCTGGTTTAACAATAAGTAATTGCATCCTCCATTTCAAGAAAGAACTTTGTCTTTCAAAGCAGAAATGAAAGTTAGTGTAAGGGAGAGTAAAAAAACAAGTAAGACTCTGGAAGATAAACCTAAACAGATTGGCAGCAGCTGGGAAAGGGGAACTAAAGGTGATCTCTTAATTACTTTGTAATCAACCCCCTACTTATATATTCACAGATTAATTAGGTCTCATACAGCATTATGTTTTCAAAAGGACAGTGTAATACAGATATTTTTATTTTGACTAGTGACATTACAGATTTTTTTCAACTTGCAGAACAATTTTTATTTTCCTCTGTATGCCCTGATATGGAGAAAGAGGAAGATTTAAAACAGTAAACCAGTCCAGCAAAATGAAAACACTAACAAGCCAGGGAATGCCAGGACTAAGGTTAGACCATGCACAGACTGGTTGCTTTTGATAACATGCAGTTCTTGTACAGAAATCAAGACCCTACGCTGGGACCTCAGAGACTTAGATTGGTTTCTTGATGCATGAGAGTCCTCTGTGACTGCAATAACCACTTGAGGCTACATTTAAACAAGATCCAGAGATAAATTGTAGGCACTGTTCACAAAGAACCCACAAACTCAAGTTAAATACTTATGCTCCAGTTACAATACATGAACACAAAACCCCAAACATGAATGGAATGACAAGTCTGTATGATAAAGAAAAGAGAGGTTTATGCTAAGGTTTAGCTACCTCTCTTAGAGCTATAGGCAATTTTGTTGAAAGTGGGGTGAGGTTATTTCTGCCAGCGGTGTCCAAAAGAGAAGTAAAATGGTATCATCTAAACACATTCCCATGTGTTCTACTTTGTACAACTCCCAAGCAAGCAGCAAGGGGGGCACCCTGGTTTTTTCACCCTCCTCCACACTGCAAGCACAACAGTTGAAAAAAGATGCACAGCTCTCCATAGAATGGAAATAAAAGATTCCATGCTTCTATAGAGCGGTACCCTAGTCAGTTCAGACTGTCTTTTTTGCTTCAGAAAAGGAAGAATTTGTAGTATTATTAAAATACTTTCAGTAATACGAAAATAGAGTAGGTAACTAAAAGATTTAATTACAGAATGCAATTTACAGGCGTCATATGTTACTTACTACTCTAAAATTAAGTATGAACATGTACAATACTTTCAGTGCTACTGCATTATTTAGTGTTTGATTTTTACAGAAAAAAAACAAAACAAAACAAAACCAAAACCCTGTGATAGCATGACTGGAAGGAACTGAAAAGGTAAGCTGAATTCAGAAAACAACTTACAGTTTCTAGCTGTCACAGATGAAAGGCCAGTATCCAAGTAAACAAAGTGTGATCCCTACAGGGTTGTTGGGCAGCAATACTAATATTCAGGGCTCTACCTAATTAAAGCTTATTTTTTAAAAATAATTTAGTCTTTTTATGACTACGGTTATATGGTAATACGGAAAACTGAACAAGACAATCTCTGACTACAGAAATGCAAAAGTTTTGTAAGTAAATACCCCTTGATTTTACCAGCTAATAATTGCTTCTGTCTTACCCCACACTGTTTCGAGTGTTTTCTTCAAATCTTAAAAGCACACTTTTTGAAAGGGACACCATTTCTTCCTAAACATTGGCAAGCCAGCTTAAGGGACACCTCACTGGGTTGCAGAGCTTGGTGGATTCCAAGAATCCTTACCAAAAACCAGGTGCAACTAGCAATACTATTTCACCCTACTTCTTACTATATCCTTACCTTTTTTTCTGGCTTGAACTGGAAACTAGAAATAGAATGACACTATGAGTTCAAAAGGTTTTCCTGTATTTCAGTATTTTTCTAAAAATATACATCTATATATCTAACAATATCAACACCGCTGTCCTCCCCTTCTTTCCTGTGCTTTAAGTACATCGGCAGACATGTCTATCAAAGACACCCAGTGGGTCAGGAACAGTATAGTTGCATGTACTTATCCTGCTTTGGCACTGATTGCACTGACTTTTGATACAACTGCAAGATACCACAGCCTTTAGCTATTTCACCAGCCTTGCTATAAAAGCCAGGCTGCCAAACAACAACAACAAAAAAAACAGTGCAAATAAGATATTTTTCCTCCCTAGAGGTCTTTTTCCCTTTCCCATTTAGAAAAACCTTTTATTTTTCTGTTGAAATTAACATTTTTTAAGTAGCTACACGATTTTTGTCTTGCAACACGTTTTTGCATATCAGAACAAACCCCTTCTATTTTAAGTGGTTGCCACAAAAAAAAAAAATGGGGACAGATTAATAAATGTCTACATAATAAAAAAACAGCAACTGACAGTAAAAATTCAGAGGACATTTTCTGTGAGAGTGTGCAAAGTCTAAATAAATATTTTTGAGAGGCTAAGGAACAAGCACAGTAGCATTTTCAAAATGGCACACCATCAAATCAAGAGGACTGCACTCCTGTTACAGAAGGCAAGTAAAAAGCATATGCAATTTAGGCTCCATTAACTCCGCCAACAGAGACCACTGACAAAGAAAAGCAGTATCTATAGAGTGCCTGTTTACTGCTGATCTATGATAAGGCCACTCTGGGAATTTTTGTCCTAGAGAAAAACAGTGAAACTGCTTTCTGATTACATCGTCCATCTGGCCTACAGTAACAGCTTTGAAGTAGTTACCTATTAGCATCCATAGATTCTATCTTGCAATCAGGGACCCTGAACAGCATGGCTGGGGACAGAAGCAGTGGCAGGTGTCATCGCTACTAAAGCCTGAAGGTACTGCAATATTACAATTTAATCATAAGGAGACCATTCTGAAGAGCCCTCACTCTACCACAGCTCCAAGAAAGAAAAACAGTAATTTCCAACATACTCATACTGCTGTGTAGTTGGAGCAATCAGCAAACTTCTGAGAGTCTGAATTGACTCAGTCTCAGTCTGCCTTTGTACATGTACTGTCAACTGCAAAAACTAAAGAAGTCTCAACCCAGGATCTCTGAGGAGAAAGTATCTAGAAAAAGGCACAGAACACTGGTTGAAGACAAACTTGCAAAAGGATGCATCCTATGATGCACCATTAGCTTGGTGCATGACAGTAAAAATCACTACTCTTCCACTTCTGGAAAGGGAGCAGTGCCTACAAGGGATTGGTTTATTGAACTGCTTGTAATTAACACTCAGATTTTTGGATGGAAAATACAGCAAATTATTACAGTTTCCTTGTACTGCTAGAATAAATGTCCTAGAGTGATGAGACCCACAGTTCTACAATGAAATACAGAATAATGGCAAATCATATTCCACTTGCACTGATTATATGTTTCCTATAAAGTTTAATGAATAAAGCCTGTTAATTAAATTTAAATATTGCATTCTGTATGTTTACATAAACACTGGCATACAGTAATATCTAACAGACCCTTAGATGACATTCCATAACTTGAGGCACATTTTTCCTTGTTTCCTATGGAAATAAGGCGACAAAGTCAATCTGTCCACACACCTATGATCCAAAAGAGCAGTGATCTTGCAGACAAATAGGGTAAAAGACAGTCAAGTCTTATGAAAAACAAGCAATCAGGATTAGGATAGCCCTAACAGAAGACATCCAGGGACCCTATGGTTTCCAGAAAGGTAAAGGTTTCATCTGGTATTTGCAGGCCCAAAGTCAGAAATACAGAAGAAATACAGAAGAAATTAAGACGCTTCTCTTTCCAGACTGACACTGAATGGTAAGGCAGGCAACTGGAACACAGGATGGAAAAAAGATGCAACAAAGTTTTGTCGAACACAGACACACACTGCCTAGATTACAACACTATCAGCCTGTACTCCAACTACTGTACTCCAACCTGCAATATGAACTACAAAACATGCCCATCTATTTCTAAGGGAAAGCATTTCCCTTTACGAAACCCAGCAGAGACCTGTACTGCAAGTTGACAGATGAAACTATTTTCTAGAAGACACGCCTAATGCACTCTCCAAAGAGAGCCATTATTTCAGAACAGGCTCTGATAGCTCTTTACATATTTCAGCTGAAAAGACCAGCTGGTTCAGCACCATCCCAAAGAATGGTACAGTACTGCACAGCACCGATTCTCCACAATATGCTAAGAATTCCACAAGAGATGACTCAGGACTTTTTTTTTCTTTTTTCAGCATCTGTAGGAGGTAGAAATCTAAACTGTGTGTCCCCTTTTTCTTTAGCAAGGTGTCCTGGGTTCAGCAGTAGCAGTCAATTTTTCTCCTTCTTAGTAGCTGGTGCAGTGCAGTGTTTTGACTTTCAGCCTGGGAACAGAGCTGATAACACTGATGTTTACCCTGACCAAGGACTTTGTGAGTCTCATGCTCTGCCAGGGAGGAGGGGAGGCTGGGAGGAAGCAGGGACAGGACACCTGACCCAAACTGACCAAAGAGGTATTCCATACCACAGCACATCATACCCGGGGAGGCAACTGGGAGTTACCCAGAAGGGCACTCTCTTCTTGGTCGGGCTCGTTTCAGCAAGTAGTATCGTATTCTCTTCCCTCGTTATTTCTCTTATTATCATTGGTGGTAGCAGCAGTGGTTTGTGTTATACCTTAGTTACTGGACTGTTCTTATCTCAACCCGTGGGAGTTACATTTTTTCGATTCTCCTCCGAATCACTCTGGGAGCGGGGGGCAGGGGAAGGAAAGAAAGAAGCAGGGGGAGTAGAAACTGCGTGGCTGACTGGGTTTAAACAATGACAGTTTCTTTTGGCCCCCACCATGGGGCACAAGCGGTTGAGATAATGACAGATCTGACCGGAGTGTGTCTAATCGAATTTGTGATAAGCATTCATTATTTCGGATTAATAGTCACTTGTCACAATGCTGATTTATTGGCTCTCAAAGTTGTTCCTCTTGATCTCAGTTTCAGTATATTGCACCTTACTTAGAGGCAATTTGCTGTGTTAATGTTTTTCAAGTGTGGGGCTTGGGCTAAGGTTCTTGTCTCATTGTACTTTATGGTAATGACTTGTAATACAATAGAATCATTGATCATGAAACTGATCTGGCTTATGTTCCCAGTGTGGTCACCACCTTTATACTTTGGGAGGTATATAATAGAAGTGCTTAGCAATTACACATCTTTTTTCTCCTCGGATGCTCAACCTGTGAAGGAGACATCCTTTTACCCTCCCAGTCCCCCCCTCCAGACCGTTTACATTTGAGAGTTTTGAAGTTTTTGAATGCCCTTTTAATATTGTTGAGACTTGTTTGCTGATTGTGATGGGGATCACCATGCTGGCATGCATACAGAGTGTGTCTTGCCCATGACCATTTCGTCTGATTTCAAGAGTTAAGCAGAGTCAGATCTGGGTCTTGTCTGGGGTTAAACAACGATATAGGAGGACCAAGAGATTTTCCCTGAGGCTGGACAGCCATGAGTGGCAGGGTGTGTGGGATAGTATGGGCAAGTATCTAGGTCAGTGGGCCCCTCCAGTACTTTGGAATTCCACTACCGAACAACTGCAAAATCCAGAAGAATTAGTAAAACACTTAAATGAGGTGTATGAGGCCATACCAGAGATGGACAAATCATGGCAACGTGCTGGGGCTTGGCCTATGCTTACAGGGCCTTGTTCAACACTATCCAGCACCTTCAAAAGGAAAAGAATGTCGGCGGATCTGAGGGCAAAGCAACAGTAGCGCAGCTACTCCAGCTCCAAGCACAGCATTTGGCTGCAATGAACAGCGCAGCTACCCCAGCGACAAGTAGAGCAGCTACGCAAACTTCGACTGCAACAGACAGCGCGGCTACCCCAGCTGCAAGCACAGCACTGCAAAAAAAAAGAAACCGTCATGGTTAAAACACAGTCAGCCACACAGTTTCCTCTCTCCCCGCTTCTTTCTTTCCTTGTCGTTGTCGGCCCCAACACCGCCCCCCCCCCCCCAGCTCCCAGAGGCATGGGGAGGAGAATCGAAAGAATTTAACTCCCATGGGTTGAGATAAGAACAATCCAGTAACTAAGGTATAACACAAACCACTGCTGCTACCACCAATGATAATAATGATAAGGGAAATGACAAGGGAAGAGAATACAATACCACTCGCTGAAACAAGCCCGATCAAGAAGAGAGTGCCCTTCTGGGTAACTCCCAGTTACCTCCCCGGGTATGACGTGCTGTGGTATGGAATACCTCTTTGGTCAGTTTGGGTCAGGTGTCCTGTCCCTGCTTCCTCCCGGCCTCCCCTCCTCCCTGGCAGAGCATGAGACTCACAAAGTCCTTGGTCAGAGTAAACATCAGTGTTATCAGCTCTGTTCCCAGGCTGAAAGTCAAAACACAGCACTGCACCAGCTACTAAGAAGGAGAAAAATTGACTGCTACTGCTGAACCCAGGACACAAGGAAAAGTAATTTTTAAAATTAAGCTGTCTCATGTTATCATTCTGTTTGTTGGCAATGATTTCATTAGACGAAACTACAGGATGTTGGGAGAAGTTAATGTAAGTCTGGACGCCACTTATTCTACTTACAGGGATACTTTTAGTATTGTAAATATCCAATGTGAGATGTAAATATCAAGCAAAAAATATATACAAGATTTTAACTCATTCCTAAGAAATTACCGTGAATTGCTCTGTCTGAAGAACACTTTGTAAATACATCTGTCAGAATGCACAGAGCTCCAAACCCAAGAGCTGAGTCAAATATTCTCCTGATGAAGTAGCAAATAACAAGGCCTATTCATTTCTCTGAAATGAATGGAAGTCAAAATACAGCACTGCACCAGCTATCACAAAGGAGAAACATGACTGCTACTGCTGAACCCAGGACACTCTATTTCATAACACTTAACTGAAACACGTGTAAAGTAATGTAACTGAAAAGACAATGAACTGTGTTTGTAGAATAACAGTGAAAATTTTAGATTGCAAACAACTTTTCTAACAATCAGTGACAGCAATTTTACACTTCTGAACCACTGCTCATTGTAGTATTTGTATAATAGAGTCCTTTGATACTGCAGAAATCTACAAATGTAACTGTTAATTGGTCAGAATGTATATGACTAAATTTATCACCAGATGACACCACATCACCATTACTCTACAGAGTCTTTACAAAGCAGGACACTGAAGATGTAACTGCTGCCCTGTACAATTCTTTAAATAGGGCATTTCAGTCTTACAGCTTTAACATTCTCAAAATAAAAAAAAATCAATAGCAACTGTTACACCAAATTAAACAAATCACTTTTGGAATGTTTTAACAAAGTAATTTGTTTCTTGCTAGAAGTGAAGTTAATGCTAGCAGAATAGGGGAGAGTGTGCCAGGTTTTTAATTTTTTTTTAATTATTATTTTAAAGATATAATGAAACTCCCAAACAACCTTAAATTGGTTAGTAGCTGAAAAAAGTACTGAAATAATCCATTAAATATTTACAAGAAAAAATAAAAAAAATCAGAGGTTCATAGCACCATACCTGTACCCTTGCATGAACTTCCCCAAGGAGACCATAGTACTGCTGCTCCATATACACTTTTTGTTTCTGCCAACAGCTTTCCTGTGCTTTCATTTGTTCAGCCATTTCGCTAAAAGTATCTTCCTGGCTCTGCTGAAGCTCCTTCACAGTATCAGATTTGCTCTTACAAATACATTCTAGGTGAGATATCTGTGTGACATATATTTAAAAAAATTCTTTTACCTCCCAAAACACTTTTTTACTTTAATTGTACATATTAATTTAAGCACAGGCTATTTCATCATAAAATCAAATTGTAATTTCTTCAACACATTTATTTAAACTAAGTAAAAACCTTTAATGACAGATTGCTTACTTGACTCCTTCAAGAAAACTGAGACATATCTAGGGATAATGAATTTTCCTTGGTTTCAGTTTTGTCATCCTTATAACACCTTGCATATACCTGTTGCCTTCTTTGTTGGAAACATGAACTGGACACTTACTGTATTACTCTGAAACAAGTGCAGTAAATTTTGTGCTGCTAAATTAGCAAGTAATAATAAAAAAATAGCCCTTTTTTGGGGGGTTTGTTTGTTTTACTGGGAAGTTGAAACATTCCACGTATTATTCAGCACTAAAATAATTTCAGGAAATTTCAGTGCACAGAATGTTTTTCTTCCAAGTAGCTCATTTGTTTATGATGTGTTTTCAACAAGCATGAAGGGATTCACTCTGTGGTCTAGTTTTGCAGGTCTCATGCAAACTAAATGGAGAAATGAGTCAAGCTAACAATGATCTCTAAATACACATGCCTATACTTCATTATTAGTTACTAGATACTAGAATATCAGCAAGATATCTTCCAAAGAGATCACACAGAACTTCAGGAGAAAAAAATTTGTTCTCAGTAAGCAGGTAACACACAGGTAACTTCCCCAAATCACTGAAAGGCTGGTGGGAACATGGAAAGAGCCCCAGAGACCTCAAAATCAATGTCAATAACCATACTAAATTAAAAAGCAAGAAATGATAATACACAACCCCCCCAAACACTGCCAACAATGTTCAAGCCCTTCCCTTCCATTCCCTTTCCTCCTTGACATCAAAAGGAAAATAGAACCATACATCCAATCTGCATAATCCCTCTTTGGTAAATTCCATTGACTTCTGCGGTGTTTACTAAACAATGGGCAGAGTGAAAACACAGTTCACTGTAACCAGCCTTGTCCCTTAATCCAGCCATAACAGAGGCCACAATTCCAGCGGATGAGAAACTCCTGAAAGAGCTTTCCCCTCCTGTGCCTGAAGAACAAAATGTCAGAGCAGACAAGATCTGGAGCCACTGTATTAGACTGTATGACTAGCCTGATCAGTGCAGGCAGAACACGAACTGAAATCCTGAAGAGTGGCATACGTTACCCCTTGGAGCCAGTTTAAGTTATTTAAAAAGAAGTCTTTTCATTCCTGAAAACACAGGGATTTCCGGGGAGAAAAGCCATGTAAGCTTATTCACATTAAAATCATTCAGAAAAGTACATCATCTCCCTTAAATATTGACAAACTTTATGAAAATAAATGTTTTTTATTGTATTTCTGAACACAAATTTCATAATCCAAAAGTTACAATTAAACCAAATAAACACACTAGCATTTTTTCAGATAGTACCTCTGAATCATAAACATGAAATTTAAAGATGAAGATCCTGAAGTGCATTTTGTTTCTGTTTTATGCTAAAATAAAGAGTTGCTTTATTAGTGTAAATGACTAAGTCCTTTGAATTGCTTCATCAGTAAGATTAATTTATTTTCTTTTAATTAGGTCCCTGTGGCTAATATTGGCTAGTACTATTAGCATGTCCTGCACAGAAAGTGGAGCTTAGAGACTTCATACAGACTTCAGTCACATTTACATGCCCACAGCAATGGCATCAAACCGAGTTGTAGACAAGCCATAATTAATGGTACTGAATTATTAACATCCAAATTCTTTTTGAAATAAGATGAATGTCAGTCCTTTTTAATGATACTGTGATGTGGACAAATGTCACTGAATTTAATAGAAGTAGCTGGTGCCTAAGGACACTTACCTTCTCATTAGCCCCGGTGAGGTCTAAGATCAGGGCATCAACATTCTCCTGCAAGACTGCACAAAGCTCAGACCAAGAGAATCTATCTATGATGCCTTCTGGTTGTTTTATAAGCACACAGCCTGCTACCAAACGCTGGTATAAGCTATGGAGGAAGGTTAGCTTCTCCTGAAACAAAAAGAAAAATTAACTGTTGTATCTCAACAGTGTTATAATCCAAAGAGATGCATCCTATGTGTAATAGTGTGAGCTGCACACAGCTGAAAAACCCACAAAGCTAATTCTCAAATCTTGTCAAAATTCCTCAATCCCTTGTTAATATTTGCAGCCATACGTATTAAAGCCAGAGTAAGGAAACGGTTATTCAAAATTTGTCTGATTACACAAATAAAGCCAGCCCAATCTTGCAGTGGTCACAACTAGATCTGATACAAATAAAAATTTTCGTGCTATTAATAGATGCAATCTGATCATTCATGTTAACACGTTCAGGTACAATCAAATTGTACGCACCTCCTATATCTGCCCAATACATAGAAAGTTGTCTGATTAGTTTAGCAGCATAGCACACTGCTTATACAATTACCACTCTAAAGTCCTTAAAAAATTATTTTTGTGCTGATTATGTGTAATAGACTTGTAGCTTCATCAGTTAAATTCCTCAAGCCATGCCTCATTCATTTACACTAATTTTCATGTAAGTATAATAGATACAAATATTTTAGTGAAAACATAATAAATTGATGCAAGTTACCAACACACTTCAGGAACAACAGCATGCAACAGAAATTTCAGCCTTCATCCTTCTAGTACATATATGCAACTTAGCAATTTCGATTAAGACAACAATAGAAAGCTGTACCTCAAAAGCCACAAGAAACAGAGCCTTTATTCCAAGTCAGTAAACTATTGCAAAGGTTCCCATTGTTTTTCAGGGGCCTTGGATGAGGCTTTACATTAAGAAGTTGTGTTAGCGAGATGGGGAACTATGCTTTTTCTGAGCCCTTTCCATTATACTTCAGTGCATTTTCTCAAAATTACTCAATGGTATTTTTAGGCAATAAAAAATTGCAGTTTAGTTTAAACTTCACTTCTAGCAGATCTCATTCCCTACTGAAAATTCAGTGTGTCACCACCATTACATTTTTGCTTGAGCTGTGACAAATCAAGGATGGTAATTATCCATTTGGCGTGAAAAGGAGATCCCAAGACCCAAAATCAATTCACACATGTTGAATGCAACCACAGTGTTGTAGACATGCTGACTTTACAATATAGCCAAGCCTGTAGTTTCATTCACTTTAATCATTATCTCATGTGTATAACAATTCCAGCTGCTTCATGTGGACACAAATTAAATACCAGACTGTAAAAGAGGTGGAAAGAATGTTTTCTTTTTACTCAGTTGGCATCCATGTCCAAATCTGGGGAAGTAATGAGCTCAATATGCACAACCATGATAAAGTATATCATTGCTATTGCTAGTACTTTCTTGCTTTACTGGGGGAGAAAAAGCAATAAAACTAACATCTGTAAACAAATATAAGGAGAGAGATAACAGTTCTGAAACAAGACTTTGTGCAGCAATTCCCACATACAGCATACCACAACAAGCTAACAGGTAACAAATAAGAATTTCTAGGGTTTGCGTCATGCAGGCGAAACTACCTCAACTCCACATTTGCTATCTATCAATTTCCATGTGAATTAGTAACACATGATGATGACTATTGTATGTTTCAATTGTAAAACATTTTTGTTAACTTTCAATTTGAAAGAAAGAAATAATTGTTCATCAGGCATAGCTCTTTAAATAAACTTAGTTGATCAAAAAATCAAACACTGGAAGGGTTAAGTTATTAATTCTGCTATAGAAGGAAGGAGAACGAGTATGTCCTGAGATCCTGTAGATATTAAATACATATTTCAAAATACGTATCTTAAAATCATATTTCAGGGATAAATCTGTTAAGACTAAGAATAACCATTTGATGTATGTAAATGTATAAAGTTAAGATTAAATAAAGACGCTCTTTGACAGTCATCTTGTCTTTGGTAATACCTCCATATCCTTCTGGTAAGCCCTGGTAAGCTTCTGGATTTCATTTTCAGATTCTGTGACACGTACTTTCTCCTTCTCCCAGCATTGCTGTACATTCAGCAGTTCAATTCTTAAAGCTCCTATTAAAGTCTCTCTGTCTGTACATTTAGTGTGCAGATGATTTAACTCTTTATTGGCATCATCTAGGTTATCCTGAGCTTCCTGTAGAACAAAATCATGGAACAGAAGAGAATTTTACTCTATAAAATGTTCCCTAATATCCAGTGCTCAGCATCTGAGGAAGTAAACAGTTGTATAGCCACATGTGTTCAGAAGACTGCAGGCTAAGCTAAGTATCTTTCAAAAACAGAATTTCAAAACTAACAATAGTCTTTCTCCACAGTTTGTTACTAGACAGCACCAGAAATCCATTTCAGAGTTAAAAGCACCATGGTGCAGTGACCTTCTGAATCCCCTCTACCGCCGCAACTGAGATACAGAATGCATGGATGCAAGTTATTCTCCACAGAGAGTAGAAAGCTCTCAGAGCTAGTGAAAAGATACACTATGTTCCTAAGTAAATCTCCGATTCATTACAGCTGAGTAGGTAGACAACACAGACATCTGCTGTTACCCACTGCATTCTTTGTCTGCACAGTAAAAAAAAATGCGACTCTCTTTGGAGACTGGACCTTTGGAAGAAACTAATAATCAGAAATTACCATAAATACAGTCATTACATTACTAGTACCAAGTCTTGCAAGGTAAACAAAGAACTGAATACACTACCCCTTTTCAGCCAGAAGATTGCTGAGATGGAGTGGACAGATACACATGCTTTCCACTCCTACAATCACTGCACTTCCAGCACTGCTTAACTTTGCTAAAGGTCAAACTGAAAGCACTGTTTGTTTTTCATAAAAGCATAGCTGCTTATATGGGAAATATAATAGGAAAGATAATTCCAAATTCATCAGACAGTGACAACTTTCATTCTTCGTAATGAAAACACTAGAAGATTAAAGCAATGCCAATTTTGTAACACAAATGCTGTCAAGACTGTATCTAGTTTGCATTCATATATACAGATTTATCAGCAAAAATTTAAAAAGAAACTAGTGAACTGCATAAAACCACCACCATCTGCGTGTAGCAAATTCAGTTTTTGCATGAAGAATACAGGTATCTGTTACAATGGATTGGAAAATTTTTAGGTGCCTTAAAAAGGTGCTGCAACAGAAGCAGAAGACTTAAGTTCTCCGAACATAAACTGGTAAAAAGAGTTTCAATCAGATAGCAGATCACATGCAAGTAACAATTAGTATGAAGATTCAATGACTGCTGCAGAAGCATCTGTGACTAAAGTGATAAAGCAGCATATTCCCAGCAAAAGAATCTGAGTAACACTGGGAACAGAGATGTTCTATTTTGGCAGTAATATAATATACTGCCAGTTGGGAGATTAAGTTTAACCATGACCTCAGGACTTCCTCATTCCCTTGGCCATTGATGTAACCAGACAGGACATTACTAAACGGGTGTGTCAGCCAAAAACAGAGATCAAAAAAAATTCTTGTTCAGAAACTAAAGAAAAAAGTTCTCAAGTATTTTTATCAGTACTCAGGTAGATTTTATACTATACTTCAGGAAATTTTGGGCTACACACTGTTAAGGGTGACCTGATGCTTCATACATGCATTAACTTGTCAGATAAACACAATAAAAATTAACAAAGGAAAGGACATCTTTAATAAAATGTGCTTTCATACAAACAGAGGTAGTTAAATTCTCTCCCCCTTTTCTAGAGAAAAACAATTAACAGGAAAAAATTACCAATGCTGATTTCAATATAAAACAATAGTTTGCAAGTTGATAAATCTATTTTGAATTATTTCAGAACTGCAATCAGTTGTTATCAGAAAAGATCAGTTAGGTAATCTAAAGTGGTAACCAGAATAAAGCAGCATGTCTTCACACAAGCTTGCAAGGTAAACTCGTCTGCTCAACAGAATACAACAAAGAGACTTAGTCTGATAAGATAAAAAGGTACCATAATTACAGAAAAATACATTTTTTTGCAGAACTTTCATATTTTATGTTAAGTCCTTGAAACCATACCTTGAGGTCTTCACTTAAAGCACACATTTTCTCTTCAAATATCTCCAGTTCTTTTGTCTTCTTTTCACACAAAGCCTCCATTTTCCTAAGCTGTGAAAAATATGGAGGTCAAACAGGCTTTTACAAAAAAGCTACATAATCATTTGAATACAAGAATTTTATATATAAATAAATTTTTAAAAAAAGTTTCTAATTCCTTTGGCAATATTCATACTCTACACAATAATGCGCTATTACAAAAGCATTAAGATTTTTATAATGATTTAAGATAAACAGCAGTGGCAGAATCCACAACTGAGTCCAATATTAAATTTCCCATTAACTTGCAAAATATCTGACAAAAAAACAAACTTTGAAACACGTAAAAATGTAACAAATTCAGATTATAATCTGGCCAGTGGTTTGAGAAAATGAGCTCTCAAAGTGAGTGGCAGAAACTGTCCAGCTGCAAGCCTGGTCTCTACTTTTTATGGAGGGCTGGGCAGTACTCATATACTCAGAAAAAGCATCCATGTTCCTGAGACTCACTGTGACTACTGAGCTACTTGTGATGTTACAAGCAACCACCTTAGAGGTAGCTCATGATCAGTATGTGCACTAGCTTCACCTTCCACTTTCAAAAAAGATAACGACATATCATTATAACCTGTGTCTTTACCCGATGATGAAGTTAGCAATACAAATGTCTGAAAGAAAGCATCGAATAGGCATGTATTATAGTTCAGGTTACTGCTGGTACTTAAACATTAAGGAGCAACTCAGAAGTAAAAAAAAAAAAAAAAACATTTACAGAATTTACAAATTACTTTGGAAATTAGGTTTTGATTTTATCTCAAATCAGGAGACTTGGCAGAACCCTTAGAAATAATTACAGTAAACTACAGAATGCTACTGGAGTATTTGCAGTCTTTCTGTTGGTTTACTAGTGTTTTCTGTCTCCTCAAAAATATTCTAGCATCTGCACTATAGAGAGAGTTGAAAGCCTGTTATCTGTCAAAAGCAAAACACTTATGCACCTTTCAGTCACACAAATGAATTAGATTGTTTAATCTAATGCTCTACACAGTAAAAGAGGTGACACATGGCAAGTTTACCAGCATATTTCACATGTACATACAGGTGCATACATATATTAAGAAGTCCATCAATATGCAGCGTCTTGTTTAAAATCTCTCTTCAAAAAAGAACCAATAATTACTCAAAACTAAGCCCTTACTGCTGTGTATTAAAACATCCTGTTTTTATTGCACAGTGCCCTTCATAGTCCCTTTGTGCATTATTGCATTATTAAAAAGTTTTATTACTAAACATATCTAATATATAAAAAGCCAAAAGCGGAGTTATCTATGGAGGTGGGGATAATCAAGAAGGACAGAGCACTGCCCTTTATGAAGGTGCTCAGTGATCTCCGGCTCTATATGACAACTTCAGGGTCAGTCACACGCAGTCCTACTGGGAAGTCTTGTGGCACGTAATCTGTTGGTCCTGCTCTGCTTGCGATTTATTTTCCTTGACAGTTCATTCTTCTTTCTGTCAGAATACTCTCTTTGCTTTCTTAGCAGCCACCCCCTTGGTCTCCCCACTGCTGTCTCTGGCACAGTTTCACAACAAAGCACATCACTAAGCCAAAGCCTGCTGAGTCGACTTTTCAACTGCGCTGCCTATCACGTGACATTCCCCCTCCCAAATAACAATTCACTGTGGGTAATATGTTCCTAGTTACTCTTCAGCTTCCAGACTTGGGTCTCAGAAGAGTTTCATAATGACTATGCACATCAGTTCTCTTATCTCACTGGGAGATACCTAACAGTGCTTGCTGTTTGCAAAAGTATAACTGCTTCCATGGTCACTTATTTTTGTGCCCACAGCAATCTCAAAGGTCTTGCGGGAGACCATTCCTCTCCCAGTAAAAAAAAGACAAAGCTGACACACTTTTTTTGCCTGGGTTTTTTTTTTTTTTTCTTATTTAAACATTGTGAGTGACTAGCTGGACTATGCATTTGTCAAAACAGAAGACAAAACCTAGAAATCAAAAAACACTACTAGCTTTCTTACAGTCTTATCTATCAGACCTTGCCCTTCTGTATTTGCCAATTTTATCCACAGATAAGTGAATTACAAGTTTGCACAGAAAGCTTTAACAGTGCAGTTAACTTCTCTCTACAGCCTTTAAAGCCACAAATTCATAAAACATTTACACCAAGAGAATTCATCTAATCATATTAGAAATACAAATGAGACAATAAATGTAAGATTGTGACTTCTCAGACAGTGAAATAAAAGACTAGTAGGACTGCATGGAAAACATTTGATTTTTTTTAAGGGTAAAACTTCCAAAACTGAAATAGTTCCATTACTGTCCTAGATAATTTACAAGTATTGTCACTGTCCTATTTTACTTGAAAAGACCTCAAAACAGCACCAAAAGAGATTTCATTATAAACACACATCTCTGAAAATTATGCCACTTTCTAAATGTACAAGGGAAGGCACATTTACATAACCAGTATCAATAACTGCTGAGGCTCAGGTGTTGTATATTTAGGAATACTGCAGTACATGCTGCCCAACTCTTACGTCATCATCTTTTAACTGAAATCCTAGACATGAACGGCTCATTTTCCTGAAAAATTATTGAAAATAATAACCCCAACAGGCTTAATATGAAAACAAAACCAAATTAAACTAAAAAGAAAAAAAAAACTTCTCCCTGTCCCCCAGATTTAAGTGAAATTTCACTGTAGGGCTAGCTTAGCGAAACAGTAGTGACAGATTATTTCTTTGGGTATATGTGAATCTGTCAACTCAACATTCCCACTCTTCTGACTTTTTTTTACAAGCAAAGCGTATGTACTGCTGCAGGCCGAAGGCAATACATATAGAGCCAAACAGTGCAAGTGTTACCTCATTAGACATATCTTCCAGCTTGTTCTGGTAAGCTGTCAAGGTACACCTCAAAGTCTCAAGGACAGAGAGGCTCGAAGGTTTATCTTTGTCCTTACAAGTGCCTGAAGGAAAATACAGAATGAAAATTAAGCCTTAAAGCCACAGAGAAAAAACTACTCACCCTGGATGAGAGGTATTAAAATTAGTCAGTGCATCAATGACAGTACAAAATACTGAACAGCAGCTTTGTTTGCCACAAGAGATGCAGCCAAACAGCCGTACTTTTACAGCCAACACAGCTGACAGACATTTGTATAAAAGCTTTAATACAGACACAAAACTGTAAATTCTGGATTACATTTCTACTTAATATATATTTGGTATGTGGTCTCACATGTAATTCTACTGTGGTCAAGTCTGTGTCATGCAGTTGGACCAGCCAACTTTAAAACCACATAATAACACACTTTGAAAAACATGTTGCCCGAAAGTTCAAACATATTACACTTTTCCTGACATTATTTTGCTGTTGTGACTAAGCATGCACATTATAAGGTAGTACTTCATTTACTCAAAGCTTTACTGAGCCAAAGATCACATGACTATGTTATGCTTGGAGAGGTCTTAAAAACCTTTTAAATGATCTTGAATTTCATTCCAAAGGAAATAATAAAAAAAATTTATTATCTGTCTGCAGAGTCTTACATAACGTTTCAATTATAAATCTTAAAGCTGATATATCCATTATACACACACTACACTTATTTATTAAACCTCTAGACAGAGACTTCTGATCTGGCTCCCTTAATTAGGGACATATGAACAAGCCTGAGCATTCCAACGCCCATAGTACAATGTGCTAAGAAAGCAAAACAACATTGTATTGATCAAGAGGTCATAAGATGTCAGCTGATATTAAATTTCCAAGAACAAACTATTCATTTTTTTCTTGTGTTACAGCAAAACACCAGGTTATTGACAGATTCTTCTTCTTAACATTATTTATATTACTAAGTAACATTTACAAACTTACTTTGTAACAAATTCCAGTACCAACTTTTCCATGAGTCTTAACATGTTTCTGCTCTATAAGCAAAACTAACTTTATCAACATTAATGACATCCTCATTTTGCAAAAGAGGTGAATAAAATCTGTGGCATTTGAACGCTAAACAGTCATGACTCCTAGCAGAACTGAACGATCACACAAGTGTTAATCACCTCTGAATGGTCAGTGACACAAAGCAGTTTACCTAGGGTGGCTCAAATCAGATAGTAAATTCTAAGCCTTTTCTTTGGCCTACATAAAATTTTGACAGCTAGAGGAGATGCACTAACCTCTGGCAGGTTTTTTTGGTGGGGGGGTGTTTTGGTTGGTTGATTGTTTTTTTTTTTTTAAATCCTAAGGTTAGTTTTATCTAATAAGCATGACAGTCTACTCAAAGCATTACACAAAAATGATGAATTTGTCCTCCAGGCTATACATAATGCACCACTGGCAGTCAGTGGAGAGCTTATGAGCAAGTCAGAAAACATTGTCAACAGCTGATTTTTTTTTCAATTAGTTAGCCTCTTGTCTTCCAACCCTTTGATAATAACACAAGGTATAGATTTCTATTCAAATTGGACACTAACTTTTCGTTTTGATTTGCCAGCCAACTCTCACTGACAAAGTCACACCTAGTCAAACCAATGAAGATTTGCAAGATTTTTTTCAGTAAATGAAAAATATCTGCGATACAGTACACAAGTGAATTTAAAATGAATGCACATCCCACTGGCAGACTTCCACTCTGTCCTGTCAGACACTCCGGTTAACACAGTTTCTAAAGATCTACAGAGTCAGGGAAAGGCAAAATCTTCTTAATGAGACTCCAGTGTCCTTAACTAAATCTCGATTCCTAGAGATGCCCCAAATAGCAATGTTACACTTAAAAGCAACCAAAGACGAATTCATAAAATCTGACCTTTTGTGAGAAGTTTAGATTTCACATTTAAGAAAGTGACTAGTAACATCTTACTATCATTTTTATCACTTAACCACAGATACAGTTGAAGATGTACAGGTCTCCAGTTCCATCTTCTCCACTACAAGAACAACTTTTCACTACTATGCATTGCAGGAACATTCTGTGGTCACTTTGTTGCACAGAAAAAAGAAAGCATTATTCTTCCATACTTCTAGTGAAGGTAGAGAGTGAATTCTCATTCAGTTTAAAATGAGTCAATCTAGGGGTTTTCTTCCATTTTCATCAAGCTGTCTAAACAATGTATCTGTAACTCCACAGTCCCAACCCGCAATGCTGTCACCGAAAAATACCTCTGAACTATCTTAATTTACATCATGTTTGCCAAAACCATGTTTACCACTAAACCTTCTATGTTGGCATTCTTCACCTTTGCTGCAACCCCATTTTCCAGGCAACCCAGTCTGCCAAGAGAAATACCAGATTCCACCTTCCTACACTAGCTGAAAACAAGACTATGGCTTTACTACTGGCCAAATCTTGTCTGTGTTCAGGTACCTATGCAGCAGACATGCAACATAATCCAAATGGTGCTCTCTTGCTGCAGAGGTCCTATGACAGCAATGAGAAAAAAAGAAACAATACTTTTTGCCCACTATCATCTAAGAGTTTGCGGGAAGAATTGTGGGAAAATGCCAGGTTCAGTGGGAATATGACAGGAAGTATACAACTGAGTAAGCTCTTCAACCTGCTGCTTCAGACTTTCTAATAATGGTACTGGGCCTGTATAGGATAATCTTCTTCATAGCAGCTTATATGGTGCTGTGGTTTAGATCTTTGACCAAAACAATACTGGTGGCCTCTGTTAGATGGTGACACTAGCTCAAAGCAGTTAACACTTCCAGCACTTCATACTCAGTTCACTTCTTCTTTCCAGATTGCTACAACCAGAATTTTTTTCCTCTTTTTTTCTGTTCCTGAAGACAGGCTTCCCTGAGCATAAACCCTGCTGCTGAATAACTGCAAAATATGGTAGACTGAATAGGGACAAACTGAAATAATGCAAATTGCCCAGTAAAAAAAATAGTGCTATAGAAAACTTATAAAGGTCACTTTAAAAGGAGAGGGTACGGATTTATGCTTGTTATTTTTGACTGTATAAAAAAATAAAATAAACTTTTTAAATACTTCACTTCTTAATCTTAAAAACATATAATCTTCTCTTCTTTTTCCCATAGAGCCAAATAATCACAGCCCAATTATCATAGAAGTTAAGGGGCTGGATGTTCATAATGACAGATTTCTAAGCAGATCTCTCAGCCACTTGAGCTGAAATTTAAAAACACCACCAAGAAAGACTGCCCAGCCACCTGTGGCTCTTGTAACCCCTGCTAGCCAATTAGACTACAAAGACTTATTTAAGATTTTTACTTTTATTTGCACCTAGGCATTCCCATTTCAAATACATTAAACGTTTTCTTGAAAACTGCAAGAAATGCTGTTACATAATAAATCTCTAAGTACAACACAGCAAGGCAGCAGCATTAAAATTGGTTTCACACTTAGAAGTGTATTAAATATGTAGAACTTACTCCATGTCTTAATCTATACGCATTTTAATATTAGCTGTAGACTTAATGCACAGCAGAGTAAAATTTGACTTTCTGCCTCAACTGAGCCTCTGCAGAGATGAAGATGAAAACAGATCTCTTTAAAAAAAAAAAAACCTTTCAAAGTTTACCTTAAAAAAGGCAAATTAATACTGAAGTTACTGTTACTGAATCCCTAATATCATAGAAACAGGTCAAAGGTGTTCCTCTGCAAGGTTTACCACGAGGGAGAACAGAAAACCTACCCAAAAGACAATTACTGTTTTGGAAGCTTCACTTTGGCAGCAGCATTCAACTCCCCACAGAATTGCTGAAGCCCCTCTGGACATGTGAAACTTTGCAAAACTGAGGAAAACGTACCATTTGAAGAGCTTTTCTGTCTGATTTATCTATACTAAACCTATAGGTGTTTCCCACAGGAATTAATTTTGTAATTACAGAATAAAACTGATAGCAGCTCCCAAATAAAAGGATTATATAACCCATGTGAGAAAATCAATGCATCACAGATTGAAGGCTGGCTTTTAAGCACAACAGAAACCTCAAGAAGTTCCTTTATTCAATTTTGACTGTACCAGGCCCTAAAAAAAAAAACTGTGAAGATACAAAAAAAATGCATCATCATTTAAAAGTGTTATACCACCCATTTATGCCTACTGTTGCTAAGAAAGTATAGAAACATATAATCACATTTTACATAAAAAAAACATTTGCTCTTTAAGCAACATTTTGCCTTCCACTTTAAGCTAGAAGCATTTTGTATCTAGGATGTGATTTTCTACAAGGTACCCACAGAGAAAACTTTTACAGAGAGTTTTAAATGAAGACCAGAAGTGTACTATTTTCATGTTTGAAAAAAAATTAGTAGCTGTGAAGTTCAACTTGTTTATGTTAGCCACTATTTCAAATGTTTAAGCAGGCAGCAGTTTGTTGAGTTTGATACAATACTTGCATATAAAGCTAGGCAGCAGAGTGATGGCCACTGACCTGCAATTAATTTTAATGAAAACAGAGAAATATCTGTTCTGTGTAAGATTCAATGAATGCAATATAGTACTAATCCACAATCAGCAGTAAAAAGTATTGTATTACATCATGTGTCCTACACAACCTTTTTGAATATATGACCTTTAAGTTGCTGAAGGTTGCCTCAGAATTTGGCTCAGTTCAGGCAAAACATCTGTTCCCTTTGCAGGTATACTGTAAGGCCTTTTTTCTCAGTTGGATTTAGAGCACAGCAAGTGAGCCCTTTTCTGACCGATCATATACACCCCAGCATTTGTAAATCAAGCTCTGGGTTGACAACAGCAGGTCCACATTCTGTCACCCTTTCTCAGCTAGCAAGGCCATTTGACTGCTGTGAGAACTGCTCTTATCATGTCATCAAATCAAAGCATGTTGAGAAGAGGGAATGCAAGAGGCATCTGCAGAATTCCCACAATGTAGTGACTTTGGAACACTGACAGATGCATCTGTCATTTTATACCTTCAACTAACCTGCTGTCCGCTGGCCTGACATAGCAAAGCTGTCCAGGAGTAACTTCAGCTCTCTCATGTTGCTTTCATACGTCTCTGTTAGAAAGACCTGGTGTTTCTTGGCCTTTATTTGACAAGGATATAGACAAGACAAGAAGGGGAAAAAAGAAACCCATTAAAACAGTAAACAGAAGAAAAACAGATCACAACAGTGTTTTTGTTCCCCTTTAAATTTAAATTCCTGCTATATTTCTCATTACTCCTTTTATTAAGCCAAAAGACCTAACATGACATGACAAACAAGTAACACAGAACCACTAAAAACACTTAAAATACAACTAAAGACTTCAGGTAGTCAAAAGAAAAAGTAGATGTACTAAAAGCTAGCCTTGACTTCCTTCTGCTTTAAAAATATCTTAATGAATACTAATTAACTACTACTCATCTATGCAATGAGATCTATTGTTACACCCTACAAGGGCATCCAGAAAGACACCAAACTACTGGCAGACAGGCTAGAAATCCATGATCTGGCACTCAGTCAAATCCCACACCTATTCGCATTGCAAACATGCCTACTTTAATTGTTAGTATCTTCCATACTTTATAGTGATTTCTTCAGTATCAAAACCTTCTCCTTATGCATGAAATATAAAGCATCAGACTCCTTCAGCTCCTATCACTGAATTTTCTTAAAGAAAACTGCCTACTACGTGCAGCCTGTTGTTCAAATCAAGACACTGGCTTTATTCTGAGGGCAGAAAGGTATTACAGCAGATTTTTCAATCACTACAATAGAAAGACTACGTAAAATCATTCCTTCAATTTGTATCTGATATTAAATCCTGCAATTTTCAAAGACATGCGTCTGTAATTCCAGACAAGACCAAGGTCTTCTTGGACACATGGAGTTCTGACTTCTCAAAGAAATGTACAGTTTTAGCAGCTGACTGACAAAATGTAATACATCTCGGCAGTTTAGAAAACAAACACCCCCCCCCCCAAAAAAAAAACAAACCACCCCAACAACCCCTCTCCCCCTCAAATTAAGAGGAAAATAGATCTAAATAACTTCATGATTTTCTTATGACAAAGGTTTTGCTCAAATACGTCTCATTGCTTTTAATTATTTTTATTCTAAATTCTAACACCTATTGCAGTAATTTCCATTTCTACTTGGTGATGGAAGGTTACCCTTTTGTACTGAGAAAAATCTTACTATCATTTCCATAAACTACTGCTTTAGTTATGTTTCACTGCATGTGTAAGGACCGAGTGAATTTCTCAAAGTGTGGCAAACATACTCCCCAGGAAAACTGCTACATACTGGCAGCATATAAATGTCAGGCTAAAAAAAAAAAATAAATAAAACAACCAAGAAATGCATTTAATCCTCTGCAGTGTTCTTCACTATTCAGCTTAAATATTTTATAAATTTGCTTTACTCTTTCAATTTTAATTATATGTTCTGTATATCAACTAATATATTATTCATATGTGTATTTCAATGTGGGTCCCCTGTAGCATTTACATACTTTTTTGTGTGTGAGAGTTTGTACTACACATCATCAAGAATTTCCAAACCACTTCTATATATTCAAAAATAACTAACTTTTAATTCCTACTCTATAGAATTATCTATATAGAGAGCTTGCAATTGCTGAACTCCAGTAAAAATATTTTATGGGATGCAAACATTAAAATAATTTATTCTCATGTAGTGATATCATCTCAAACACCTCACATATTAGAAATAAGAAGATATAACAATATGATCAGCATCACCGTAAAATAAATTTTTACATACACCACTCCAGCACAGACAAGTTCAGATTAAATTTTCCCAGAAAAATCTTTTCCCATGGAAAAGTCAGATTTGAGATTTTTTTTTTTTTTTTATTTCCTCATCCAATATTTTCGTTTGGTTTAGTTAAGCTACCATCATTTATTCAGCATTTTACAGATTATTCAACCTTCACGACCTCTCTGTGCTTTATTTGCTAACTGCATCTACACTCTCTAAGCCAATTTTAGTCTCTTTTTCAACAGCAATGAAGACCAAAAAGAAATTCTTAGACTAGCCAGTCTGTCCACGTTTGGGCTGCAAAGTATTTAGCATCTTTCCTTCTTAACTCTCATTTTCAATCACTGTCGCCATTATCAGAAATCGACGAAAAAATACTGTAATACTACAGTGCTGGAAATCCAGACACAGGTTCAGAGTCCAAAAGGGTATGAACATATTCAGCTAATTTCTTATGCCTCACTCACACTGAGACATAAGGAATATCTAATAAGAATGCATAGCACCATAAAATCATGGAATAATTTAGCCTGACAGGTTCCCTGAAGGTCATCTGGTCCCACTTCCCAGTTAAAGCAGGGCCATGCTTGAAGTCAGTTTAGGTTGCTCAGTCCAGTTCAGACAAGTTTTGAGTATCCTCAAGGATGGAGTTTCAACAACCCCTCCCCCCCCCCCGGGAAACCTGTTTCAATATCTCACAATGGTCACTGTGAAGGTTTTATCTAATCTTACAGAAGTAGGGTATTTGCAGTCTAGACAATTCCCTACTACCTTGCTTGCAGAGATACCTTCCTTAACTTCCAGTATTTGACTTTGGTCGCACTCCACCACCTGCTTCAGGACAAAAATTAAGTCCCATTGATTTTTAATTTTCCCAAAGCCACTGTTGAGTGAAATAAACACTAACTCTACGCACACTTACAGAATAGACCACATGGCCTGATGCTGCAAATGTGCATCTCTATCTCAAACGTAGGCAGGAGTTTGAGGCCTTTTGAAAACAACCTTATCAAAACTTACCAAAAAGTATCATGCAGGGAACTGGGTCCAGTCCTGCAACAATCTGTCATTATTCCAAAAGGAACTTTCTCTACTTTGTTTACAGTTACTGGGATTTGATTTGTTTACAGTTACTGGGATTTTCCTATACAGCTCTCTCGCACATGGACCAATTCACCCACTTAGTCTGCAGTACAAATCCCTTTTACTGATGGCCAAGCAAGAGCCAAAGCCAGAATTATCCACGTAGCCACCAAAAAGCAGTATGTATGTTCAGATACACCTTGAAAAGCATTTGGGTAGTATTTTTACAAAAGCACTGGCATGTTTACCAGACATGACCTTGAGAGAATCAAATCAAAGCATTTACAGAAACAGGCTCCAAATGACTGCTCCACAGTTAACAAAACATGGGGTTTACTTGAGAGATGTTCTGTAGAGGAGAACAGTGGCAGACATTTTAAGCAAGGAAGCATAAACTGCACTATTAAAAAAAAAAAAAACAAAACAAAACCCTCACTAACAATCTCTCTCCTTAGGCTACCATTTATTTCTGCTAAAGTTATCTAGCTATTGAATACTTCATAGAGTTTCTTTGTTCTCATATATTAGTTAAAGCTTTCCAAAATCTGTAGAGGGTCTTTTAAAAGTGTCTAGCCACGTGTAAATTAAATAGAATTTCTCAAGAAACATAGTGTCTCAGTTTTAAACACCTGAAATAGAATTAATCAAAATTCTCAAGTTTCATATGGAGCCACTCTAGACCCCTAAATCTGTAACAACCTGTGCAGAGCAAGAATGTGATGAAGTATCTCTTTGGGTTTTGGGGGGTTTGGGTTTTTTTTTTCATCAGAGAAAATTTTGTCAAGAACTGGCAACTTTAAAAGCATTTTTTAGATGCCTGTCTTCAAACACTTGGACATCACAGCTTGAGTGACCTCTCCACTTGCAGAATAAATTACAAGACTGGTTTCTTTGTAGAAGATCATTTAAGCATATGCTTCAGAATAACTGGCCTTCTTAAATTAAAATAACAGAAGTCACATCTGGGTAGGAACACTCCACCCCTGAGTTAATGCAAGCAAAACAAGAATCAAGGTAACATAACATTTAATAATAATTAGTGCAACATTCATGAAAACTTCATCTCCTGTTTTATTACTTGAAAAGCTTGTTGACAATAAATCATCTAGATGAGTTTACATCTTTGCTACTGAGAGGCAGAATCTACCCCACAGAATTTGCAGAACAAAATCATAATATTCAGGGTGTTTCATTGTCTGTTCAGTCAATACTTAAGAAACTTCTGTTAAAAAACAGAATGCCTACATTAAAGAAGTTAATGCCTACATCCAGGAATTAAGATTCTTAAATGCTTCTTTTCTGACTTTCAGTTTATGATAACCTACAAGGCTATTACACGCAGCAGAGATGCCTGCAAGTGCATGACTGTGTGCGTGAGTATAAGAGAAAGATTTATATGCCACAAAGAAAAAGACAAGACTCTGGATGCAATCTATTACACTACTTGAACACTAATTATGCTATTCCTGATAGTGTCTACACAAAGGGAAGGAAATGACTACAGAGTTCTTCTGAATTACAAGAAATTTATGCTAAAATACACTCTTTTTAATGACTTCAATTTCCTTGTATGAATTCTGGTGAATTGGCAAGTTACCCATAAAATAAAGGTTCAATGTCTCTTGCTTGTCTGATATTAAGCATTAAAGAACATCAGGTGTCAGAAATGTAAATATCCTGAGTAACTTTTAAAGCTATTGAAGACACCTCTTCTTTCCACAGGACAGGAATACAGCTGGGGCTGTTTCAATTTAAAACAAGTTCTGAATCACAATCACCATTCTTCCAAATACCTATTCTTCAAGCTAAAAATTTCTAAGAGCCCTAGCTGGAAATAAAGACAAGCTTGAGACCAATTTCCTCAGAAAAACATAATGGAAATCTTGAGAGCCTGCTCATGCTGAACATTCATAAGCGGTTTTGTTTGATACCAATAGATCCTATCGTATTTGATCCGTGCAGATTTCTGGCAAACTTCTGCCACATGCTGATATTTAAAATTAAAAGCAGCATAACCACTTCACTATACATTCAACTGAGTAATAAAAAAAGTTCTTTTTCATGTAAAATTTCCAAAAAATGTATTTTGTCCCTGTGTAAGTCTGCTTTTCTAAAAACAAAGAGCCTTCACTAGTCTGGTTATATTTCCCAAATATTTTACAAAGAAAAACATTAACTTGCATTATAGCAATACAGTGAGAAACCAATATAAGATTATCAGACTGAAGTGGAAAGAACATATTCAGGATGCCTAACAAGTATAAAATACAAGAAAGTGATGAATAGATCAGGAAAGCAGGAGGGGGATGTAAGGGAACAGAATACACTGACATTTTCACACAATTTTAGTACGGGTGTAGGGAAGGCTAATAAGAGTATATTAAATATTATCTACACTTAGTTTCTGCTATAGTCATCTGGTTTTTAATTTTGGGAAGAAAAATAACAAAAAGCTGTCCAGACTGAGTAAATAAGACCACACACAGGCACTCCCGCTTCCCAAACAAATACAAAAGTCTTCAGGAAAAATACAAAGCCATCCAAGGTGATAAAAATCTAATCCCATAGGGGACCACAAATCCAAGTCCTCAGAAAATGAGTATTTTTATTACCTGTTCAAGACAGTCTTGTGGTTTGAAATCATTCCAGTAAAACAATTAAAACAACCAGCTCTATGAATAAGACAGTTCTTTTAACGGAGACAATTTGTTCTGCTTTTTACCTTTCAGTAACGTAACATGCATTTTGAGTACACCATTTAATATTGTTGCCATTACCAGAAACCTTGGTCACAAACAGAATTTTGTTCTGAACTCATCAGGCATAACATAAATTTTACAAAGGAATACAAAATGAAAAGGAAAACTCGTATCATAGAGACAGTCAGCAACTGCTCAAGGTTCCTAGGAGATTGTTTTTGCTTGGAATTGTATTTTGTATTAATAAATAGCAATCATTACTGATTGTAGTTAGGGGAGACAGTTGCTTTTGTCTCTTCACATTCCTTTTGTTTCTGATAACTTTTTCAGGTTAACTACATGAGCAAAGGCCTTTCAATACATTAACAGTTGCATGGAAGAAGCTGTGATTCTCACAGAAGGAAAAGGGTGGTTTTATTTGATTTTTCTCTAGTTTATTAGTTACCAATCTGTCCAGGAAATGGGTAACACTAAGACAATGTATGGAATAACTCTATCAACTGAACATAAGACACCAATACATCTGATGATCCTCTGATGCAGGTCTCTGCTCTTAATCATTGAACTGATTGGTTCAATGTCTGTCAGCAGCAGGAAAAGACCACGTTCACCTTCCGTACTCACAGCTCCAAAAAAGAAAGAGGAGAAATCTGCAAGCCAGTATCAAGAAAAGTTTACATTGGCTAAGTACAGAAATACTGCAAATGGAAATCTATAATGGAAGGCGAGAAGGTTTCCTAGAGCCTAAGATCTTTGCTTTGTCCCTGCTGCTATGCAACAGGATGGAAAAATTGTTAGTCAAAGCTGGGGTGGGTAGAGACAGTGGGAAGGTCCCAAATGGTCATGTAAAAGAAGAGAGATTTCAGAAAATAAGGTAGTAAAATACATCCAATGCCAAATCCACATTTTAAAAAAAATAAAAATAAAATCCTCCTGCTTTGTCACTTTCAAATAAGCAATTCTCAAGCATTTTTTACAGTCAAATGCTTGCACTTAAACCAAAATGTTACGTGAAACAGAAATAATTCAACCTACAACAGTAGCTAATAAAAGTCTAGAAAAGAAAAAAGCTTGGGTAGAAAGCTAGAACATTCTCCACAAGGAATCATAATCCATACCTACAAACTGCCTTCTTTGCTAGGAATGCAAATAGAAGTTACTCTTTACTCATAACCATATTCTCAAATAAGTTTTCTGCAAATAACTATTCAGTTAAATACATGGTATATCACTTCAAATATATTTTTAAATTAGGTCTGTATTTACTCCTGTTCTACAAAATGAAGTCAGTAAAATTAGAGTAACACAATGGCAGAGCTCTTCCACAGCTCAGGACAACAAATGCAGATTATCTTCACAGTATGTTTAAAAAACCCTAAACAATGAGTGCCACAGGCCTTTTGTCTTACCATTGCAAGTTCCTCCTGCAATTCTCTGTAGTTTTTTTCATTATTCCCTAGTATCTCAGAGAGCTCTTGAATTATCTTCTTCTTCTCTTCAATCTTCTCATTCATGTGCTTGTTTGTGGAGATACACTCTCTTTCTAATCTGGAAAGTTTCAGCATTAGAATACTTATCAAAAATACTTTTGTTAATTATACTACATAGTTTTCAACATAATCAATGCATATGTTAGCACATCATGTTGCTTCTGAAGTCCCTCTTTTTGTTTTATTTTTTAAACTGAAGTTATACATTCTTCTAAGAAATACTTTTCAAGAGGTGGTTAGGTTCTTCTCTGTTACCAATGCCTGTAATTAGCTTTCAGTCAAATTCATATGGTCATTTGGATACACGCTCTAAAGCACATATAATAAGATGAATTCCTCATATTTTAATTAACACAGTAACTCTCTTCAGAAAGACTATACCATGTCTTGCATAATCAACCCTTATTTAAAGTACAAAGGTTGCTCCTAAACTTTCCATATATCTGACTATATTCTACTCTATAGAGTAGAATGGCGTAGCTTCAAATTTTTCCTCCAGCAGACTGTCTCCAAAATTTCAAACATTTCTTGCACTGTCTTAGTGCTCCTGGTTTTCAGAACAGATACCTAAAGAGCCTGGCATGGTTAAACAGGCAATTCATGAGAAAGCTACAAGGCCAAACAACAGCATATAGAAGACAGAAGCTGGGACAGGGATCGAAGGAAGACTTTAGAAAGATTGCCTGAATATGTAGCCATGGTGTCAGGAAAGCCAAAAGCTCACCAAGAATTGATGTTTGCAAATGATGACAAAAAGATTTTAAAAATACATTAAGGTAGGAAAGAAAACATGGACCTGCTTCTACACAGACTGGGTAATTGTATGCAGACTATAGAAGAAAGCACAGAGGTCACCACACTCCACCTTTTTTGCCTGACAAGGTCTTCTAAGCCCCTATGATCAGTAGAAGTGTTCAAAGAAGAGAACTGCTACCACCAAGGATTGAGTCAGGGCTTACTTGTAAGAACTCAAACCATGGAAATTGAAGAGGCCAGCTTGCCTACACTCAAAGGTTCTGACAAAGCTGGCCAATGTCACAGTGTGGCAGCTCATCATCTTTGAAAGGTCACAGAGACTGGAGGAGGTACCTAGAAATGGAGAACATGAATGTTGCAACCATATTCAAAAAAGGGCAAAAGGGCAAGCCAAGAAACCATAGACCAGAGAGCTTCATTTCAGTCCCAGAAAGATCATGAAGTAAGCCCTTTTGGAACAAATTTCTGGGCTCATGAAAGAAAAGAAAGGTGACTGGGATCATTCATTGAGGATTTACCAAGGCTAAATCATGTCTGGCCAACCCAATCACAAGGCCAAGTGCAACGTCCTGCACCTAGGTCAGGTGACAAGCACAAATACAGGCTGGATGGAGAATGGATTGAGAGCAGCCCTGAGAAGGACTTGGGCTGTTGGTTGATGAGAAGCTCAGCACGAGCCAGCAGTGTGCACTTGCAGCCCAGAAAGCCAACCATGTCCTGGGCTGCATCAAAAGAAGCATGACCAGCAGCTTGAAGGAGGTGATCCTGCCCCTCTGCTCTCATGAGATCCCACCTGCAGTGCTGCAATCAGCTCTGAGGCCCCCAGCACAAGAGGGTCATAGACCTGCTCAATGAGTCCAGAAGAGATCGGCTATGAAGACAATCAGAGGGCTGGAGCACCTCTCCTAAGAAGAGAGGCTGAGAGAGCTGGCATTGTTCAGCCTGCAGAAAAGAGGGTTCTGGAGAGAGCTTACAGCAGACTTCCAGTGCCTAAAAGGGGCCTGCAAGAAATCTGTTCAGAGGAGAGGAACTTTTTACAAGGACATGAAGGGATAAGACAAGGGAGAATGGTTTTATACTGAAAGAGGGTAGATTTAGATTAGACATTAAGAAGAAATTCTTTACCATGACAGAGGAGGGATACTCGAACAGGTTGCCCAGAGAAGGTGCAGCTGCCCCATCCCTGAGGCATGTTCAAGGCCAGGTTGGACGGTGCTTTGGGAAACCTGGTCTAGTGGAAGGTGTCCCTGCCCATGGCAGAGGGTTGGAACTAGATGATCTTTAAGGTCCCTTCCAACCCTAACTATTCTATGATTTTAGGAACCCAGTTACATTCTATGATAAAAAGAGATCTGTGAACAAAAGGACAGCAAGTTGATTAAATATAACTCAGCTTTAGCGAGGCTTTTGGCACTGTCTCACACAGTATTTTTATATCCAAGTTAGGACTTCAGTCTAGCTAGGTGAATTGCAACTTCAATAAAAATGGTTTGATGGTAAACCTCTGACAGTAGTTGTTGATGATAAGTGGAATACTGTAGGACTCTGGATTAGAATCTGTTTAACACCTTTATCCATCACCTGGATTAGGCCAAGAGTGCAATTTTACCACGTTTGAAGGTAACACTGAACTCGGTGGAGGTGGGTGACTACACAATACAATTTATACACTTAAGAGAAGGGCTGTCATTCCCTAGAACCTAGCCAGAGAGGAGGAACAGGCCAGCATTAACCTTTTGAGATTCAACAGTGATAGGTGCAAAGATACGAATTTTAGGAAGCAAGAGTGGTACGGCTGGTAACTGGCTGAGAAGCAGCTACGCTCAATAAGGACCTGGTAATCTTGGTAGACAGCAAGATAGCCAGAACAGCATGGCATACAAGTAGAGACAGCAAACACCATCCTGGACTGCATTAGTAGTAGCATGGTCAGAAGAAGTGATTAATTATTTATTTGGCACTTATTACAACACCTCTAGGACAACGACCACACGTAACATGGGAAAAGTTGGAGTGAGCTAAGGGGAGGGTCACTCACATGGGATATTCAAGCTGGAGGAGAGAGAACTTCAGGATGCATAACAGCCTCCCCCAGTATCTACAAAGAAGTTATCAAGAAGATGCAGCCTGTCACTTCACAGCAATGTGTGGCTAGAGAGCAAGAGACAACAGTCACAAATTGAATCCAAAGAGGTTCAGACAAGGAGAAACTTTTTCCACCTTAACAACAGTGGAACAGGTTCCCAAAGAGGTTCTGTCATCTCCATTCTTGTAGGTTTTCAAGACCTATCTGGACAAAACACTGAGCAACCTGATCTCATACCTGATCCTGGTTTGAACAGGAGGTTGGACTACAGATACTCTTCAATCCCTGAATTATCCTTTGATGCAACTCCTAGCAATGGGAACATCTAGGTTTCTCTCCTTTCCTTGTCTCTTCTATCACTTCTGTCTCACTAACTGAAAGTACTGCGAACAGTTCCAAGTTCTTCCAACTTCTGAATCAATATTTTCACTTCCTGACTTTGACTTATTTCTCATAGATCCACATATCTTTTTAGCTGAACGACTACTTCAACAGTCCTCGATATATCTATGCGCTTCTGCTTCAGCCCGGCTGTTTTTCTTTTCTTTTAGTTGTAGATGGTTACTTCTTATTCTTAAGAAAAAGAACTTGCTAGTTTCAGTCCCCCAAAGTAGCTTCTACTCCCACAGCTTTCAGAAACACGCAAAAAGCAGTTCCAATTTATTCTATGTCACGATCTCACTCTTCAAGAAAAGTAAATTCACATGGAGACCCAAATCCCATGTTGCTTCAAATTTACATAGAGCTACTGGGTTCAGAGCTTATTAATAAATTATGCAACCCAGAAAAGCCTGCTTGCTTGGTTTTAGTTATTACAACCATCTTTTTCTGAGAAAAGAAATTGTCACAGCTTTGTACAGTTTCCAATTTTGGTATCATTCATCCCACTCAAGTCCAGCTATAAAGATATACAAGCGTTCTAACACAACAAATGAAACCCTCCAAGACTTTCCAAAGACTAAGGCCTTAAGACAAATTCCAGAGGACTCCTCCAGAGAAAGAGAAATTATGGTAGGATGTCAAATCACAGCTTAAAAGAAGAAGCCAGGCTCCTGACATTGTCTGGAGTCCAGGGATCACAGCCTTCAAAGGTAAGTAGATCAAAGGCTCTTGTATTCTCTCTTGAGGAATCTAGTGAACGTAATCACTGATATTCACCAATGTTACTAATACTTGTAAGCTTCAAAGACTAAAAAGGGCACAAGAACCCACAAGGTATTACATGCCCACCACACATAATTACCTCACGGGAACTGAGTATACAGATGTCCATCTGAGACAAAGCTTGACCTTCACTACCCATCTTTATAAATGGGAATCTGGAAATTCAGGTGTCTGGACTAACAAAATTATAAGGACAGGCTGTTTCTGTTTCTTCAAGCTCTATTAACAAAACCACCAACTGTTTAACTGCATCAACTTTCATGGAAGTATTTGCATTCTCTAAAAGCACAGAAGATAATTTGCTTTCAAAAACTCAGTTGGCAGAAGCTGCTAGGAGTCATTGCCTGAATCAACAGATGATTACAAGTAGTGAAAAGTACTATTGTGGATATTAGACAGTTTATTCTGATGTCCAATTAACACAGAGAACAGATGCTTTAAGTAAGCAAAATTTCTCTTTCATACCAGGAAAAAAATAAAACAAAATGAAAAAACAAACAAGCAGGAAAAAAAAAACAAACAAAAAAAAAAAACAAAACCAACTAACCAACAACAAAAAATAAACTGACACAAACCAGGGCGAATCTTTCCTGAGAACTAAGTGTTGAACAGAATTATCCAGTTTAAAGAAAAAGGGAACAGCTGTTTAAGGTTCTTGTTGTATTTTAGCAACACAAGAGAAGTATTACTTCTCTGTAAGTACCAACATTGAAACTCCTAATGCAACTGGTACCACAACCATAAGAACTGTATTGCCTGGTCTGGTATTTCTATAGAAGAAAAAAAAAACAGTCTCTAAAAAAACAATTTTTTTTTTATTCTTTTAATAATCTAATACCAAAATGTATCCTTAACTCAAAGACTTGTTGGAAAATTATCTCTTGCGGATTTTCACAATTTTTAACTAATACTACTAACTTCAAATTTGAAAGGCAGATCTTGTGGTAAAACTTGTAAAGTTCTAATGGTTTGGAAAATTCCTAAACAGATGCTTAAGCTACCATTAGGAATGCTTCTAATTAGCTTACATTTTATATCTATTATCATCCCTTGATTCTCAGAACATATTCATGCTAATAACAGAATAATTCAGGCTTTAAAAGACTCACATGTCTGTTGCTAACCTCAAAATTGCAAATTACACTCAGCTAAATGCTTAGAAAAAATACAGTGTTACTGAAACACTGTTCAATACCTAAGAGACAGTGTAGCTCCACACAGTTAACAATTGGGCAGCATTATTCCATGTGCATGCAGTACTCTACTTAAGACTACTTCTTGAGGTAACAGGTCTCTGCTCATCTGAGAAACTATTATAATTCACAGAATTAAATGCTCTGACCGACTCTGTTAAGAAAACCTAAGTGTACATGCATACAATCTGGGTCTAGTGTGATAAAATCAACCAATCAAAATCATTATAAAAAAATGCACGTGAGGAACCCATACATTTTATGAATTTCATGAGGGGCCAAAAGGAATCTTCCCAGAGGATCTTCTACTGAAAATTGCTACTGAGCACAGATATCCAAGATAAAACATCTTGTAGCAACATGAAAATAAAAATTTGCTAAAAGAGGAGTTCCCAAGAGAACAATTGTTACGAAAGTTAAAATGAACAACCCATGTGTTCAGATTCACATTCATTTTCAAAAGACCTATAAAGATAAAAAACTGGGCAGTTCTGCTGTGTTTATAATACAGCACAGGTTTCAACTATTTTACTAAAAGCATCTCTGTAACCATGCATATAGAAAGACTCTCTCAGGCCCAGGCACAAAAACCTCCTTACTTGGAGGAAAACTTTTGCCCTCCACTACCGCTTGTTTGAATAAGTCAATATAAATACTTATGTGCACAGACCCATATCATCCTAGATCAAAAGAGATGACACCTCTGTCTTTTTCCAATCCATTCTACTAGCTCTAGTCTCTGCCAATACCCCCACTGTGTGCCACCTGCTTTAAGTCCTCTTAAACTTCCTCTTTCTCTAAACTTCACCTACTACTTTCTTTTATTTCACCTACTCCTTGGTTCTCTGTCTTCTAACACGATTCTTCTTCCTGACATTTTCTCAGCCCAATTATCTATTTGATTCACCCAGGGAAGAAAACTTAGTACTGTACATCCTCTATATGTCTGGGGAATATAATAAAGCTGTTCTTCCAAAAGCCATCTGTTACCACAGACACAAAAGAATGTGCTGAGCACGAAGGGAATCAGAATCCCAAGTAATTGTGCCTGTTCTCACACACTTCACCCCTTTTTCTATTCCTTCTTACAAAGTTAAAACTTTCCACAATTATTCAAAAGCTGAAAATGAAGACTATCCACTATAAATTATACACAACTTCAAAACAGAAATCTTCAAGATTTATCTAGCTCACTGAAGTAAAAAAAAAGTATTGTTTTCATAATAAGTGTATACAGAAAACAAAAAGTTCTTATAAACCTGACACGTATGTTTTGCTACACTCCTCTCAAACACTACTGGAAACAGGACCCTATCATACCTATTATTTTCAACATCTGTGCTTTGGCAAATAATCTACAACAGATCAGTTATTTTCTCTACCTACTCATAATATGTATGGTTACTGATATGAACTTAATGGAATGCCAGGTTCTGAACTTTGGCTGGGTTTGGTAAATTGCATCAGACTGTTTTCTAGTGAGTGAAAACTAGAAAGAACGTAAACTAGAAGTGGTACTGAAGCTGACTATTGCCGCTTTACAATGAATTTAAAAGTTAACTTACACATTGAGTTTTTCCAGGTTCTCTTGGGCATTGCATTTTTCTCTCTCATATGCATTTTCTACCTCTTTAAACTCTTTCTTGATCATTTCTAAATCTGAAAGAGCTTCTGCTTGGCTGGCTTTTTCCACCTGCAAAGCTCCTTCAAGGTCTCGAATTCTTAACTACCAAGTGATAAGAAAGCAATTAAACCAAGTTAGGAAAAACTATCATGATCTTTAATGCTGTTCTATGCTGTCTTTTGCTTTACTGGTAAACTATATTATAGTAATTCTATATGGAAGTATATACACAGAAAGCATCGAACACATGTAAAAATGCATGAATACATACAGTTCAAAATTAAAACAAATAGATACACTGACCAGAAGCAACTTTTGTTTTCCTTTGGTGGTGTCTGGATTTTTCGTTTTTCAGCTATTACTAAATTTTCCAGAGGAATTTTTTTTTTTTTTTGTTAAGTAGACTCATGGAAGCATGGAATTAACAGTAAAGGCTGTATTTCCACTCAGCACAAAACACACTTGAAGCTCGTTCATGTATACGAACAGGGAAGAAAAGCTTACCATTCACTCATAAAAGATAAGTCTCTTACTGTAAGGAATGTTACCCTCCAGTTCCTTTGTGTGTTGTAAAAGTAGAGAGAGGAAATTAAGAAAACTAAATCCACTAGTTTAATCATCACTTTAGAAAAACTGAGTGCCTGTGCACAGAGAAGATGATGAGAATAAGAAAACAACTGAGTGAAGAATGGCAATACTTATTTTACTTACTCAGAAAATAAGAAAAAAAAAATATCAAACTTTCATTTTTTTGCTTAGTTTTTCAGAAGTCCAGTGTGAAGGGTTTGTTAGGAGGAGGTTACTAAGCAACCATCATTCAGCTTTTTATCACTTGCTTTTTAAAGTAATCCATAATTGCTTTACTGGGTCACACCCAATGTGATACAGCTTAATAATACAAACATTTAATATTCATATTACATTTTACATACGTATATATGCTACACTTTTTTCATATAATCAATCTTTACTGGCAACTGAGAGTATTATAACTGTGAAGTTGAATGTACTCCGAATAATCACATTTGGAACTGTAGTTTCAGAATGCATCAAGCTCTCAATCCTAGAAAAGTTGGACCTATGCACTCTTATCTCCAAATTGCTCTAAGTGCCCATTCAAAAGATACAGGGCAAGATATTGAAACAGTAGTATAGTGTTTAACTATTGTGAAACATTTTCTTTCCCCTCACTGTTTAAATGCTAGTGGGAATTCTCAGACTTAAAATAAGAAAATAAAATAACATCTTTGTATTCTAATAACTTTAATGTTCCCTGAAAAGCAGGTATTTTTCTGTTGTTTCCTTTTATACATTAGCTATTACAACTTTAACACTTGTTGCAAAAAACCTATTCAGTGTTTTCACTAAAGCAAGTAGGTAGTCTTAACATCTTTTCAAGATTACATCTTTACCACTTCAACTGTTTTACTGTAAACTCCTACAAAGTATTTAACAAAAAGTTTACCTGGATGATTTCTGAATTGAATTTGGATTCCAAATGTGCTGCTCTCTCTGCTTCAGTGTTTTTTTCCAGTTTCTTTATTCTCACTGTAGCTGCCTAAAAGTACATTTTGAAAAACTTAAGTCCAGAGATGCAGTAAACATGACATAAAGATTATTCTATTCGTTCAGTATATTAGGACTTTGTTCACCAAGATAACATGGCTGAACTACTTGTGCTTTGGAACTGTGAAAACTCATACCCACAAATAAGCACAGAAATAATTTTTACATATCTAGAATATTTATTATTTTATATTTAAAGAAACTGATGTAGCCTTATGCTATTTCTGCATTTTTTACAATTAAGAAAATTGCATCTGCAGCCAAAAGGCAGAAAGACCAAGTTAAATATTTCGCCTATTCCCTTACTATTTTCTTTTTCACCAAAGTTGTCAGCTAAGGCAATATAATTAGATACACAACATAAAGACACATGAAAATATAAGACAGAGGAAGGTCAGAGAAGGTAAGAGTATTCCTCAAAAATATGCTGGCTTTGGCACTTAAATTCCAATTAAGGTGCCCAGGACAGATTGCTTTGCAGCCCAAAACTAGTCGTAGTTTCCGTACAACAAAAATCTGTGAACTCTGCAATGTTTTAAAGTACTAATCTAGTATTTTTTTTACTGTTGCATTCCTTGACCCGTAACTATTCTGATTTTGTCTAGCAATTACCAGACGTTCATGATCACTTTTAACAAATATCCTGATTTCTTCAGTCAGTTCCTATGTCTCATTACACAACAGAACATCTGTACATGCATGAATTATCTAAGCAAAATGGGATTCTCTGAATTAAACTGTTGCATCTTTCTTATCCATTCTTACAACATTTAGGAAACTAGAAAAACACAAATGACTATGGCAGGAATCTACTTGGAAATTTTGATTGCCAACAGAAAGTTCAAAAAGCAGTGCCCATTTTTACTAGACTTTTTTTTTTTTTTTTAATGTGATCCAGGCTGAAAACGTTTCTTTCAAGTTACAATAAACACAAAAGCAATCACCAGATATGTATGCTCAGATAAAGAAAAAATACCTTTACCAGTAAAGTAGTAACTACACATCTGCTATAATGGAAATTCACATACAATCTTAACTACACTGCTTTTTATCAATAAAATCTTTTCACTTTGACTGATAGCTGAATTTAAAAGAAAAATTCATCTCAAAACATCTCTTGGCTTCAAGTTAAATCAGGAAGATCAAGAAAAAGGAATTAATATTAAAAACTCATTTATCCTAAGCACACTTAAGGTTATATAAATACAATCAATGTTACTGATTTTGGAAAAGTAAAACAAAGTAGCATATAAGATTGCATCTTGATTCTGAATGTTTAAAAGAAGAGAAACATTAACAGATGTTAAAATAAAAGCTCTTGGCAATAAATTGAAACTTTCTTTGGGTAATCATACACACACACACACACACACACACACACACAAAAGGAAAGACTTTTGAAACTGATGTCCACGGAAGGCCTAGTAAAGAGAAAAGTGGCAACAGCACAGAGCTTACCAAGCTTACTTCACAGTAAGGTCTGACAAAAAGCTTAAACCTTGCCTCTTCCCAGGAGTTTAATCTGTTTAATATACTTAATTAAAAAAAAAAAAAAAAAAATCACAAATCTTGCACAAACACTCTCACTGTACATTGATACTGCTAAGATTATTCTCAAAATTGCTTGATTTAGGCTCTCCTACTACCTTTTGCCCTTAATGAAAAAATTTGCAAACTACCTCCTGCTTCAGTCTGGAAGAACTCATTAGTTATCCTCCAACAGATTGACATTTGTCAATGGATGGTTTTATACAAGAATGTTGACAGCCTAGAAAAAGTGGTCAGTGAACAATAAATGTAAATGATGTGGATCTCACTTCTTTTTTAATAACATTATAAAAGTCAGCGGTAAAATAATTCTAAGTTTGAGGAGAAGAATAAAGGAAATAGTGAGGAAGATACCTATCACAATATTAGAAGTGGGAAAAGTAATTTTTAAAAAACAAAATGAAGAAATAGAAACTTCACTGAGAATATTTTACTGCACACCCTCAAGAGTAAAAATGCTTTTCTGTCTTTGACTGGCTTCTTCAAGTGTCTACTCTCCTAGCAAAAACTGAAATGGAAAAACAAAGTGATTCTGCAAGTTTTTAGGCACAATAACTAATACACAAGCTCTGTACTGCATTTGGCTTCTAAGTCTTATTTTATTTCCTGAACACCAGTCCAAAGTAGAACTATGCCTTCATCTTAGCCTCTCTTCAGCTGAAACCAGAGATGCAAGGCACTATCAAAATGGTTAACTTCTGTTTTCCAATGGAGCCCCCTAGAAATGTTAGATTTCTTCAGTCCCAAGAAGAAAAATTAAGGCTAAATAACAGCTTGAGTGAGGGCATCTGCAAGAACAAAAAACTGGGGCAATTAAATTCTCCCAAACTGTCCTGGGTTCAGCAGTAGCAGTCATTTTTCTCCTTCTTAGTAGCTGGTGCAGTGCTGTGGTTTTGACTTTCAGCCTGCGAACAGCGCTGATAACACCAATGTTTTTAGTTGTTGCTCAGTAATGTTTACTCTGACCAAGGACTTTCTGAATCTCATGCTCTGCCAGGGAGGAGGGGAAGCTGGGAGAAAGCAGAGACAGGACACCTGACCCAAAGTAGCCAAAGAGGTATTCCATACCACAGCACGTCATGCCCAGTAAAGAAAACTGGGAACGGTTACCCGGAAGGGCTAGATCACTGCCCGGGTGAGGCTGGGTATCAGTTGGCAGGTGGTGAGCGGTTGTATTCTTTTCCCTTATCTCCCTTATCATTATTAACAGTGGTAGCAGTAGTTGTTTGTGTTATAGCTTAGTTACTGGACTGTTCTTATCTCAACCCTTGAGAGTTACATTCTTTCGATTCTCCTCCCCATTCCTCCAGGAGCAGCGGGAGGAAGGGGGGGGAGTGAGCGAGCGGCTACGTAGTTCTGGATTGCCAGCTGGGTTTAAACCACGACACAAACAGCATATAGGTGTCAATTCTTGGTATAATTCTTTAGAGTCTATCTCCTCAAGCCGCCATGATCACAGAACCATAGAATGGTTTAGGTTAGAAGAAACTTTAAAGATAATCTCATTCCAAATTCTCTGCCATGGACAGGGACACCTTCCACTAGACCAGGTTGCTCTTGGAATCACTGTTTATGCAAGTACACATCAGCCACAGAAGTTGCATGCGGCTTCAAAGCTGAGTCTGAAGTTTTATTTGGGAATAATATAGCTGAAAAAAAAAAAAAAAACAACAAAAAAAAAAAACACAAAAAAACCCCACCCACTACATAGAAAATATTGGCTGTTTTGCTAGTAAAGGTTCAAACAAGTTCTTCTGATACCCATATGCACTTTCCTTCTCAATGAGAAGTTGCATGCCTTACTAGTGAGAACAATCCACTACGCACTATGAGAGAAAGCTCAGGTATGAATCTATCCTGTAATACCATACTAAAAATTCCAAAAAGAGAAATGGGATGATGTTCCTGTCTGACAAATGCAAAGACACTGGTTCCAGAATCATGTTAGCCAGGCAAACCTCTCTGTATCAGACAAAAGGTGAGCATCTGTATCTTTATTGAGCCATATGAGTCTGAAAACTTTATACACCTGTCTAGACAGACGCAGCTGTATGAAAACAAGTTATAAAGAAAGGCTGCAGGCCACAGACACCAAACCACAGTCTCTCAACTGGGAGTCAAATGGGATTACTTTCTGGTTTCACAGAATGATTTAGGCTGGAAAGGACTACTGGAGGTCAACTAGTCCAACCTCCCTGCCCAGGCAGGGTCACCTGAAGCACATTGCCCAGGCTTGTGTCCAGATGGCTCTTGAGTATCTCCAGTGAAGGAGACTCCACAATCTCTCTGAGAAACCTATTCCAGTGCTTGGACACCCTCACAGTAAAGAAGCTCTTCCTCAAGTTCAGGTGTAACTGCTGGCAGTTTAGTTTATGCCCATTGCCTCCTGCTCTTTTGCCTGGCACCACCAAGATGACTCTGGCCCCATCCTCTTGACACCCTCTCTTCAGATATGTATATATATGTTTATCTGATTCCCTCTGAGCCCTCTCTTCTCTAGGCTGAACAGGCCCAGCTCCATCAGCCTCTCCTCATTTGAGAGATGCTTCAGACCCTTATGCATTCTAATAGCCCTTCACTGGACTTGCTCCAGGAAATCCATGTCTCTCTTACACTGGGGAGCTGTCCTGGTTTTCACTGGGATAGAGTTAATGTTCTTCCTAGTTGCTGGTGCAGTGCTGTGTCTTGGCTTTAGTCTGAGAACAATGCTGATAGCACACCGATGTTTTAGTTGTTGCTGAGTAGCACTTACCCTGATCAAGGACTTTTCAGTCTCTCATGCTCTGCCAATGAGGAGGGGCACAAGAAGCCAAGGGGGAGCAGAGACAGGACACCGGACCAAAACTAGCCAAAGGGGTATTCCATACCATGCAATCTCCAAAGTTTCCTGAGATATTCAAGTTCAGTCAATTTCCGTCTTAATTAAAAACCACAGATATCTAGGATGTTTCCATTACAGCACAGACAGAATTGCGACTTTTGAGAAACAGCATACAAAAATCACTATGAAAACTTCAATGCCAGGCAACAATGCTACATCTCTTATCCTTTAGGGTTCAGCCACTTTTTCCAGTGTCCTGTTACACGTCAATGCTAATGTGGTTTCTAGGAGATACTTTCTGCACATTAACAGTTTGCAACACCATTTTCCAAACTGGCCTTTGCGGCTTCACTTTTCTCAGACCCTCAGCACTTGCTCTAAGTACTGCCACATTTGTGAATACTGGGGCACCATGTACTGAAAGAATAATTCAGTATCCTACATTTATGTGATGCCACAGCCATGAAAATGTAATCATCTGACATTTGCATGTACATCAAAATACCCTTTATCAGATAAGCAACAAAAAAAAAAACAGGAAAAATATAAAAGTATATTTACTAAGGTTAGATACAGTAACAGAAATAGATACAGTAACAGAAGTATTTTTTCCTCTTCTCTGC